CAGCTTTATTTGTATTTCCTGTTACATACAACTAAAAAATCTTAACTGACAGTGTTCAGATATTTCCCTTCATGATGTCAAAATGGGTGCAGCAGCTCCAGGTGTTAAATGGAGACATGGCATCCAGAGAAGAAGTGGGACATTAGGAGGGAAAACCTTTTCTATAATTCCCCAATCCAGAAGGCTAAGATTGTAATCACGTGCCACATGGAATGGGAAGAAAATGATTAGCCAAAACCAATCTTTATTCATTGCTGAACTTGGTAAAAGGTCATCTTCCCTTATCAGACAATTACAGTGGATGAACATCCAAATAAAATTGGGGCTGTCAATATAAAATGGGAGAGGGGAGAGGTATTGGGTAGACAATCAACAGTATGTACTCCACTAACAGATACACTCATTTTCTGTAAAGTTGGATGTGTGTGTGTGTGTGTGTGTGTGTGTGTGTGTATCAGGAATGGTACATATCAATCTGTTAACAGAATTTAAAATTTTGAAATGGGATTATCTGGGGTGGAATGAATGGATATTTTCACATTTTATTTATAATATTTTTGTTAGTTTATGTTACTTTAGTAATTTAAATTTAAAAGGACTGCTTCAATATGAAAATGGGCCATTGAGAAATAGAGCTATAATAAAAAAATAGAGTCAGAGAAGCTTATGTTGGTATATCCCATTTCCAGCCCTTGCCCCTAGTATAGTCACTCAGGTGCCAGTAGAAGGTTTATCCCTACTGGGGATTTGGAGACACAAGGCTATCAGAGCCTGATGCCATCAAATATTTAAACCATCCAGCTCCCTCCCCTCATGCTCTCAAAGCTACCTCATGTCATAAATTGGCTCTCTGTGCACATATTCCTACAGGGAAAGAATGTGCTGGGCATGGCGATGTGGACATTCTGGCCCCCTTGGCAGCTCCATTTCTCATCATAAACTAGTACATTGGTTCTTTGGCTCAGATAGCAGGATGGGGGTTGAGTTAGTATGATCTACTTCCCAACACCTCAATATATAGGTTCTCTCTTAGTGCTGTTAAAGTCAAGTTTATAAGCCTGGACCATGATGAATTCACCGAGGTAAATGTCACCTCTGATGCCACTTGGCAGCTGGCCAGCCAGCCTGCCCTGATGACACTCCTGTCTCTTCAAGCACATTTCTTTCAAACTCTTGCGCTTTCTAGCCACATTCATATTAACCAGTTGTCTCATTTTTCTATCCCTCACTCTGTCTTTTCTTCTATGACCCTCTCTCTCTCTCTCTCTCTAATTATAGATATTTTTTCTACCTCACAGTTAACCTTCCTTTATCCTTTCTTTTCTTTTTTTCTTCTTCTGTTTTTCACCTTAATTAACCATAGAGTTGAGTAATAATATACACCAGAACTATGTGCCAAGCACTGTGAACTGAGCCATATATAAAAATTATATTCTGACTTAACAATAACTCTGTAAAATGTTTTCATTCCTATTTTACAGAGGAAGAAATGGAGGCTCATAAAGGCTAAGTAATTGTGTTATTGTGTCTCGTAATTTTAAAGATTTTCTCTGCTTAATTTTCAAAGTTAGTAAATTAAATACTTTACGTTTCCTTTAAGTTTGTTTCCTGCAGGAGCTGGATTTAAAAGAAAAAGAAAAAGAAAAAAAGTTTGTTTATAACCTCCACCTTGTTTTTGCCCACGAGTCTATTGTCCTGGAAAAGAGTCCACCGTGGGCATATTTCTTTGTTTCTTAGGCTGAAGAAGGGGCGGTGCAATAGATGAGGAAAGAGACAAATTAAAGTTGTCCCTTTGAACAATAAAGCTCCCCCACTGTTCTTTGCCCCTCCCTCTCCTTTTTCCTGAGAGCAGGGCTTGACCCTGATTTCTCTGGCACAATTTTAGTCTCCGTCAAGGAGGAGATAACCTTCTCTGTCCAGTCAGGCTGAATGCATTTTCTGCATTCGTGCAAAAGGATGAAATCAAATTTTCAGCACCTAGATGTGTAACTTTCAGTAACTTGGAGAAGGAGATTGTGGTAAAATAGGATCTTCCCTCTACCTCCAGATGTCTTTTCATTTTTAGGGGTGTTGAATTAAGCCACTCATCTCCAACAGGTGTTCTCCCCATGATCCTAGAAGATAGTGAGGTAGAAGTAGACGGAAATATCCCTTCCATCCTGCTTCAGTAAGGGTCTGAGAGGAGCAAAAGAGAAAACAAGATGTTTCCAGGTGAGTTCGAGGCCCCTCCACTCTTACTCCAGGGAGCGGAGGCTGCTTGGCTTCTCGAGACTGGACTCGCAGGATCTTGGTTTGGGGATGGAGGAGCAGGTAGCGACTTCTGTGCCGGGGATCAGAGCACGGCAGCAAAGAAGTCCCAGGTCCAGCTGGAGAAGGAGGGTCCAGACCCTGGTGGATTCAGCACCACGGACAGAAAGCAGCCCAAAGTTGGCCCACGGGCTGGGGGTTCAGCACCATGGCCAAAGCCCCCCTTCCCTGCTCCCCCTCCCGGCTCCACCCAGCCCCCTGTCATATTCCAGGGACAGACCTAGTCCCAGCCCTTGGTTAACTAGCCCCCAGCACTTAAGTGTCATGATAAACAAAGGGAGGGGTTGGTTTCCTACTAAGGCCCTTCCGAATTTCTTCCCTGAGCTGTCTATTCTGCAGCTTCCTGTTAGAGCAGGGTTCGCCTTGGAGCGACTCTTATTTAGAGCCAGCTGATTTGCATATATCTGCATTCACTGGGGCTTCTCCGTTCTGGTTTTATTATAAAGGAATTGTTCAGAGGAAGAAATAGAAGGATTATTCCACTCATTTTCTTTTTCTTCTTTACCCCATTCCTAAGTTCTCAGTCTGGTAATTTCCCCCAGATGCCTGCAGGTGTGTGTGGTGAGAGGGGGTGGGAACTGGACTCCCTGCAGCCAGGGGTTTGTTGGGGCATCCTAGCTTTCCCCATCTGTTTGGTTTCTGAAAGATCCTTGTGAGGTTCGGAGGGTCTGCATTTTGTTTTAGCACCTACCATGAGAACCTTTGGGCTAAAGTCCCTGGAGCTCGAGTAAGAAGTCACACTGCGCCTTGGAGACTGCTAAGGGGATGAGACCTGGTCTTGAAGAGTGGAGCGAGGGGTGGTGGAGTGAGGACTGGTTTTGAAATGAAAGGAGTCCTGGGTCTCTAAGCAGCTTCTAAAAATATCATCTCCCAGCACTGGGGGATGGGGAGGAGAAAAATCAAGCGTGAGGAGAATAAGGATGGGAAGGAGGTGGGAGTGTAAGGGCACTTCTTCAGGTAGATCTGATTTTAGAGGTCCAGCCTGCATCCAAGGACCGCACAGACACCACACCTCCTTCTGCCTTTTTAACAGGCATCAGTCTCCCGAGGTGGCCAAGCCCCAGTGTCTCCTGGTGACCTTTCTTTCTGCAGGTAAAGGAGACCAATTCCTCCCACCTACTCCTATTGCTACTGTCCAGCAAGTATGTGTGTGAGCAAGTAAATATGTATGTACACATACTACACACACACACACACACACACACACACACACACAGAAATGGCACATGAAAGCAGCTTGTACATGGCCACTGGTCTATGATGCCAGGAACTCTCATTACACTCAGTGTTCAAAGAGGTATGGACTGTGGCAAAGACGAGGTGATTCACCCAGGTAAGCCTCAGCACAGAGCATGGCGCCCAGTAAGTGCTGGTTGGAGGGGGGAGGAATACGTATGTGCAAAACGCAAGGACACTCAGACCACACAGGCCAAGTAGACACAGGACTCACTCTCATTCTCAAGGCTTCTCTGGCTATAATAGCCTCCAAAGGGAGCAGGGGCAGGTTCCCCAAGAAAAGAGCTCTGAAAAAGCCACAAAGTGGGTGGAGCTTTCTCCCCTCAAGTTCAGCCCAGATGGTGGCGCTCAATAGCCACCTCCCTCATCCTGGAGGGCCTCAGCCCTTCCCACCGCCACAGCGTTAAACCCTCAGCTTGCACATAAATGACCTTCACTAGGTAGAGGTCGTGTTCCACGTTTTCTTGCAGTTTCTTCAGCGCCGGCTGGACTCTGAGAGGACCGCGCCGCCGCTCTCGCAGATGCCTCGGATTCCCGGCCGCTGCGCTCCTCGCCAGTCCTCTGGGGTGGGCGGAGTGGGGTGATCGAAGAGGGGAACCCCAGACTCTGAGTAGACTGAGGACAGGGGTGGTTGTGGGGTTGTGGATGTGGGGTGTGCTCCTCAGGAGCAAGAACCTGAGGAATCGATCGTTCCTGCAAAATCTACCACTGACCCCTCTCGGCGTCCACATGGTTTCCCAGCCTCGGGAGCATGCTGGTAGGGTGGGACCCTGTCCCCCACTTTGCTCCCCTTTCTCGAGCAGCTGCTGGGGTCAGGCTCGGCCCCTCCTTCCTGCCGGTGGTGTGTGTCAGTGTCTGTGTGTGTGTCTTACGAGGGCGGGAAGAGAAAGGGGAGGGATCGAGCCAGCGGGAGCCGTGAACACAGGAAGAGACCAAGGGCTGGGAGATAGGAGAGCTCTCCAGAGCTTGGGGTCAGGACAGTAGGTTTCGAACCCCCTGCAAGTCTTGGGAACAAGGGAGCTGCCCGACTAGCTCAGAGTGTTACTGCCTCCCGGAGATCGCCCCTCCTTAAGCCAAGCCTACATTGCCTACTTCTCAGGAATGAGGGGCTAAGGTTTAGCGCTCTGGGCCACTGACGCCAGCTCATCCCCCTCCCCAGAAGCCCCGCCAGCTCTCAGTGCTGCCCCACCCCCCAAGGTTTGGAGATCGGTGGGACCCCTTCCTTTCCCCCTCCAGTTGGGTGTTCCGCCCCTGGCCTATGAAACTCCACCTCCCCACCCTCTACTGGCGGGGATTGGTGGACCTCCCGTGGCGGTGCCTAGTGATTGGCCCCCATGGATGATGGTGACCAGCGAGACCCCGCCCCCAGCTGGCGCTGGGGTCTGGGGGCACTGCTCAGCTGTGCTGGGCTGGCGCGGCTTGAGCCGCCGCCGCATTGACAGCTCCGTCTGCGGACCATGGAGACCCGCGCCGGTCCACACCCGCTGCGCCTGTTCGTCTGCCTGATGCCGCTCTGTCTCGCGCTGCTTTTGGGACCCGGGCGGCCCGGGACCGCCGAAGAAGGTGAGAAGATTGATGGCTGTGCTCGGAGCCTGGGATGCCCCAAAATAGGGGCCTGGGGACTGGGGTACTGGGGTGCTGGGATGCCGGGGAAAGGAGTCACTGGAGAGACTAGAGTCTGTACTGGGGTTTGAAGGAGGCAGGCAGAGACTGCCAAGAACTGGAGAGACAGAGAAAAAGGTGGCTAAGCAATAGGGAAGAGAGGGGCGTTGAGGAGCTGGGGGCTGGAGATCTGGGAGGCTGGGAAAGAAAGAGATTAGGAGCCGCTGGAGCCAGAAGCGGCCCTTCAGGGGCTGGGGAGACGGACAAGCTGAGTGATTGGAGGTGGGAAGTGTGGGGGCGGGGAGAGGCAGAGAGCGGAGGAGACGGAAAGATGAGGTGAGATTTGAGTATGGAGGCACGGGTTAAAGCCCGAAAAGCGGGGGCTGGGACCACCGTGTGGACAGCAGCAGGCGGAATGCTGGTCGAGGGGGCTGGGTCCGGGCGCTGCCCGAAGTGCTGACCGCACGGAACTGTCCGCAGTGCTGAATTCTGAGCGTATCTACCAGGCGCGCTCGGCGTTCCAGGAGTGAGGCTGTCCGCGATACTAGAGCCTGAATCTAGCCTCTGATTCCGCATCTGGGGGAGCTATATGCTCAGCTGAACCCAGAGGCGTCATATCCAGGTGCAGAATCCTGACGAGCTGGAATCTGAGGCATTGACCGCGGGGTTGGTCGAGGCGCTGGATCGCAGATGCTTTCCAATATGCAATTCCGATGTGGTGTCAGTTGTGCGGAAATCTGCACGCCGTAGGCGGTCCTGCCCACTGTCGCTGACGCCTCAGGAGCCAATCCCTCATAGAGGCCCTCACCTTGACGGCCCACCCCCTTGCTTAAGCTCCAGATGAGTTATCTTCCAAGATTTCAGGATGGCCAGGCCTCCTGTCTCTGGGCTGCGGGCTCCTGTTCAAACCAGTGTCTGTGATTCATACTGAGAGTATGCAGACTGCTGATCCGATGTCTCCGGGGGGAATAAAGTGACTTCAAGCTTCTCTGGCGTAGGAAGGGTCATGGATATCTATATGAAAGGACCCCTGACATTCTTTCAAAGGCAGTAGAGGACACAGCCCCTGGGAAAGGGGCTGGTTGGGGCATGAGAGATTTTATTTCTCCTGTTGATGGCTGTATCTCTCCACTTTGCTTTCCCAGAAGCTCTGGGAATCAGACTAAAAGGCTCAAGTCTCCTACATACCGGATGACCCCAGCCCCCGACTCTGAGTAGATTTGGGGGTTTATACAGAAATAGCCTGATACACTCACTTTCTCCTTCTAATTGACACTTGGCTAACATTTTGGGAACTTGGGAAGGTTGGGAAGGGCCACCGACTCCCCCCCCCAATTTGAGAGCTAGCCTTAGAGTATTTACCATAGACTCTGTGGAAGGCTGAATAATGACCCCCCCAATATGTCCATGTCCTAATCCCCAGACCCTATGAATGTTACCTTAAGTGACAAAAAAGGACTTTGCAGATGTGATCTTGAGATGGAGAGATTATCCTGGATTATCTGGATGGACCCAGTGTAATCACAGTAGTCCTTATATGAAGAGTGCAGGGGGAGTCAGAGTCAGAGGGGAAGCGATGTGAGGACAGAGATTGTGATGTACTTTGCAGATGGAGGACGGGCTGTAAGCTAGGGAATGCAGGTGGCCACTAGAAGCTGAAAAAGGCAAGGAAATGGATTCTTCCCCCAGAGCCTCCAAAAGAAACCAGTCCTGCTCACACCTAGACTTTAGACCAATGAAACTCATTTTAGGCTTCTGACCTCCAGAACTGTAAGACAGAAATTTTCTGTTGTTTTAAGCCACTAAATTTGTGGCAATTTGTAACTCCAGCCCCAGGAAATGAACACAAGCTCCTTCCCCAATTGTCATGGCTCCCTCTCTCTGGACTGGAGCTACCCACACCCACTCCTGAGGATTTGTGGCATGGGGAAAACATCTCTGTATCATTTGTCACATTTTCCATTCCCTTGCTTAGCATATTTACAGTGAATTCACCAAAGGATCCATCCTCCTGCTAAACTGGCTTTCTGACATCTCTGATCTCCCCTCTCTTAGTCATCCTCCTGGACTCCAAAGCCTCTCAGGCTGAGCTGGGCTGGACTGCACTACCAAGTAACGGGGTAAGTGTAAATCTGTCCCTCCCTGTCCCAGGAGCCTCTGGTAGTCCAGGACTCAGTCCCTTTAGCTCCCCATGGTTTCATCAGCTCAAAGCGCTCCTGGGAGTGTGTGGTCTCCAGCAGCCTTGGCTTCAAGCCAGAGTGGTCTGTTAGAAAATGTTGAGTCTTTGGTCACTTAGACAGAAAAAAAAATTAGTAAGTGAGGAGGGAACTGGCTGTATCTAGGATCAGTAAGAGGCCAAGGAACTTGGGATGAAGTGGGGTAATCTGGGGTGTAACAGCAGCTCCGTGGATTGCAAAGGGCATGAGGTGGAGAGTCAGGGGACTCCAGGCACCATTCCTAGCTCTGCCACTGCCTTGATGTGCACACCTAGTCAAATCACTCTCCCTCTGGAGCCTCCATTTCCCCAACTATAAAAACAAAGATTGGCTGGGCACGGTGGCTCACGCCTGCAATCCTAGCACTCTGGGAGGCCGAGGCGGGCGGATTGTTTGAGCTCAGGAGTTCGAAACCAGCCTGAACAAGAGCGAGACCCCGTCTCTACTAAAAATAGAAAGAAATTAATCGGGCAACTAAAAATATGTAGAAAAAATTAGCCAGGCATGGTGGCGCATGCCTGTAGTCCCAGCTACTCGGGAGGCTGAGGCAGGAGGATCGCTTGAGCCCAGGAGTTTGAGGTTGCTGTGAGCTAGGCTGACGCCACGGCACTCTAGCCCAGGCAACACGGTGAGACTCTGTCTCAAAAAAAAAAAAAAGATAAGGATTGGATTAATTTGTTTTCAGAGTTTTTCCTGGTACTGCACCTTACAATTTCAGGGTGTGTGTATGGTAGTGGGAGAGAAGGCAGGAGAGGCAAAATGGTGGAAAAAGGGATTTTCAGCATGAATCACTGCTAGGGCTCGACTCCCTCGAAGCACCTTGACGCTGAGCTGTCCACCGCTTTGCTCTCGTCCCCAGTGGGAGGAAATCAGCGGCGTGGATGAACACGACCGTCCCATCCGCACGTACCAAGTGTGCAATGTGCTGGAGCCCAATCAGGACAACTGGTTGCAGACAGGCTGGATCAGCCGCGGCAGCGGGCAGCGCATCTTCGTGGAACTGCAGTTCACACTGCGTGACTGCAGCAGCATCCCTGGCGCCGCGGGCACCTGCAAGGAGACCTTCAACGTCTACTACCTGGAAACCGAGGCCGACCTGGGCCGCGGGCGTTCCCGCCTAGGCGGCAGCCAGCCCCACAAAATTGACACGATCGCTGCAGACGAGAGCTTCACGCAGGGCGACCTGGGCGAGCGCAAGATGAAGCTGAACACAGAGGTGCGGGAGATCGGCCCGCTCAGCCGGCGGGGTTTCCACCTGGCCTTTCAGGACGTGGGCGCATGTGTGGCCTTGGTCTCTGTGCGCGTCTACTACAAGCAGTGCCGCGCCACAGTGCGGGGCCTGGCTGCGTTCCCAGCCACCGCAGCACAGAGCGCCTTCTCCACACTAGTGGAAGTGGCCGGAACATGCGTGGCGCACTCGGAAGGGGAGCCCGGCAGCCCCCCGCGCATGCACTGCGGCGCCGATGGCGAGTGGTTAGTGCCCGTGGGCCGCTGCAGCTGCAGTGCGGGATTCCAGGAGCGTGGTGACACCTGCGAAGGTACCCAGTGGACTGGGGGGCGTGGGGTGGGAGTAGTGCGCAGGTGGCAATTGGGAGAGAGTGTGTCCAAGAGGCAGGAGGGGTGGAGAAGCCATGGGCTTTGGAGCTGAGAGTCCCGACCTTTTGTGGTGCATCCAGTGTGTAAAGTTACCATGGTGCGAATTTGACTAGATATAAGGATATTTCAGGCACTATGATAGGCACATCACACAGGCCTTATTTATTTTCACGACAATAAAGTAAGTTATCATTATCCCTATTTCACAGATGAAGAAACAGAGCCTCAGAGATTAATACTTCACTTGCAAAGTTAGGTAATGGGGAGCCAGGATTCGAATCCAGTTTGCCCAACTCTCAATCAAGCTCTTTCTACCATACCATGCCGCCTCCCCTATGCATAAGGAAGAACTCTCTAGCAGTCCACGCTTCAAGCTAGTGGGACTGGTTGCATTATAGGGAATAAGCTCCCGGTCATTGCCCATAAGCAAGTCAGAGGCTGGCAGGGAGATTCTTGAGCTGGAGAGAGAAACTGGGAGGTTGCACTAGATGACTACTAAGATCCCACTCGACTCTCTGAACTAGAAGCCCTGCCTCCTGGGGGAGATCCTCCATGGAGGGGGTTTTGCTGGGTTCTTAGATCTCTGGGGGCATTAGGAACAGACATCTCCTTCTCTCCCCTAAGGTTAGGGTTATGAATGTGTGCACTTAACATAGATCAAGTGATGCTTTTTCTAAACCAGGTCTTTTTCTGGGTACCAGGGCAACAGAAATGAGTCAGACATAGTTCCAGCTCTTGAGAAGCTCACGGTCTAGATGGAGAGATATAAAAATTTAAAAATCACAAGAGGGTGATATATACTTTAACAGAGGGATACACAGAGTGGTGGGAAGACAGAGGAGGAAGTGACTAAACTTGCTCTCATTCCTTTGTTCAATCATTCATTCAATAAGAATTGAGGACATGCCAGCTGCATTTAAAGAGGGCTTATTATACATACATAGATGAATGCTACCATCTCTTCCCTGGGGAAATTGTGAGTTAGTAAAAGACTGGGAGGCAGGAACCTTCCTGAGCTCTCCAGATATAGTTAGGATCCACCTCTGTGCTCTGTAGCACTCATTGCAAACTCTATTTCTGTACTTACCCCATGGTATGCAGTGATCTACTTATGTGTGTTTCCACCACTAGACTAGGAACTTCTCTTTTTTTAGAGATGGGTCTTGCTGTGTTTCCCAGACTGGAGTGCAGTGGCTATTTACAGGCATAATCATAGCACACTATAGCCTCAAACTCCTGGGCTCAATCAATCCTCCTGCCTCAGCCTCCCAAGTAGCTGGGACTACAGGTGTGCACCACTGTGCCCTTGATTGGGAACTTCCTGAGCTCAGGCACTGGGTCTTACTAGTCCCAGCATCCCCAGTGTTCATAGAAGGATATGGGATATGCTAGGTGCTCAGTGGAAATGCATTGGATGACTGAGTGGTTACAATAGGGTGTGATACATATCAACAGAGAGCTAAGGAAGCATGCAAGGGAGAACCCAATTCTAAGGATGGAGAGAGAAGGCTTCCCAGAGAAGGTGAGAAGGCTTTTATTTCCAGGCAGCCTAGAGCATTCTGAGCTTAGGGATTGTGTGCAGAAGCATGGAGGCAGGAAGGAACATAGTATGGTTAGGGCTAGGTACGTCGGTCAGCAGGGTTAGAGCAGAGGGTATGTGGGGAGTGCGGGGAATGATGGGACCAGAGAGGGGCAGGGGCAAACCATGAAGGGCCTGAATGTTGAGATAAAGAGCTTAGACTTTATGCTTTAGACCAATGAGGAGGATTTGAAGCAGAGATCTGACATGCTCAGATTTGTGTTTTCAAAAGATCACTTGAGCTGCGATTGCAAAGAAAGGATTGGAGAGGGAAGGAGTCCAGAAGACAAGGAAGATAGTGCAAAAGTCCACTAGAAAGAGCACAAGGTCTGAACCAAGGCAGGGGCAGACATTGTTGAGAGATGAGGATGGATGTGATCATGAAATAGCATCCACAGCACTTGGTGACCATGTGACACAGAAGGAGAACGGAGTCCCCTTTGACTCGTATGCTACTGGGGACGCAATAGACAGATTGTTCACTGGGGTACAGACCACAGGACGTGGATGACATAGCACGTGAAATTTATGGTGTCTACGGTGCATTCAAGTGGAGGAGGCTAGAAAGTGGGTCTGGAGCTCAGCAACACAGAGATGCTACTTGACGCTGTGGGTGTGGTTGGGACAGACCAGGAAGAATGTGTGGGGTGAGGAGCAAAAGGGCCAACAATGACAACTCAGAGGACAGTGATATTTAAGGAGAAGTAGAAAAACAGAGCCCATTAAAAGACTGAGAGAGAGTGGTCAGAGGTTGGAGGAGAACAAGGAGAGCGTGCGATATCATGACAGCCAAGGGAGATGGAGGTGTCCAGGAGGGAATGGCCTACAGCACTGGGATCAGTCAGGCAAATCAAGGATTGGGAAATGTCCACTTGGTGGCCTTGGTGAAAGCAGTTTCAGCTGAGTGATGGAGAGAGAGACCAGGTTGCAGTAGGTTGAGGGATAAAGGAAGTTGAGAAACTCAAGTTGGGAAATCTAGAAGCCGGTATTTGAAGGAGGAGAAGAGGAGGTATCTCGAGGAGGACATTGGTGAGATGGAATTTTTATTTTAGATGGGGGAGAATTATTTGTATGGTGAAGAGCAAAAAACCAGTGGGGTACCTAGTGGGGGATGGTGGGAGCCATGTGCCCCAGGGGGGAGAACTATTTTATTACTGATGTGGGTTAGAACTGCTGACGTGTGTGTTGCTAATAAAAAGCAGGTCCCAGCTACTTGGGAGGCTGAGGCAGGAGGATTGCTTTAGCTTGAGCTCAGGAGTTCAAGGCTGCAGCGAGCTATGACCGCACCACTACACTCCCACTCCAGCCTGGGTGAGAGAGCAGTACCCCTGTTTCACAAAAAGAAAAAACAGGCAGCTTTTAGTCAGTTTTACTATTGTTTTTAAACATTCTGTAATGTCCTTATTGCCTTCACCCAAAATGGGCTGTGTTTACTGCCCCGCCCCCTTGTTAACAGCAAGTAAAACCCAGGAGCTGGCTGACGGCTGATGGCTGATGGAATGTAGACCTTGAGGAGGTGAAGAGGAGGGGTTCGGAGTGGAGACGCAGGGACCAGCCTTCAGCAGGAGGGGCCTCACCCTTCCTCTAGCACTGGAAGGAAGGAGAGAGGACATGGGCGTGGATGGAAGTGCTTGTGGTTTTTGTTTTTTCTTTTTTTTGAGACAGTGCCTCACTCTGTCGCCCGGGCTGGAGTGCAGAGGCATCATCATAGCTCATAGCAACCTCAAACTCCTGGGCTCAAGCAATACTCCTGCCTCAGCTCCCAAGTAGCTGGGACTATAGGTGCATACCACATCTGGCTAATTTTTTCTATTTTTAGTAGATATGGGGGTCTCATTCTTGCTCCTGACCTCAAGCGATCCTCCTGCCTCAGCCTCCCAGAGTGCTAGGATTACAGGCGGGAGCCACCATGCCTGGCCTATTTGTGGGTTTTGAGGGAATTACCAAATGATGGCCTCTTTTATTCCTGTGCGGTAGGAGGGAGGGCATCTGTACCAGTGGACAGTAAGATCCTTGTCTGTTTTATTCATTGCTGTATATCTTTAGAGCCTAGAATAGCACCTGGCTCATAGTAGATGCTAGAAAATATTTGCTGAATAAATGGATCAGGGGCTGGAGGACGAGGTTTCTCTGGGAAATGAGGGAAGAGGAAGTGGGAGAAAGAGAGCCTGACTCAGGACCCGGCTCCATTTCTGAGTTGTGCTGAGCCCCCTCGCTCAGACTGAGACCAGACAAAGGCCACTTGTAAAGGCCTCAGCTCTGCCTTCGGGAGTGCGGAGCTGGGGAGGAGGCCAGGAAAGCTTCCAAAGGGAGGTGTCATTTGAACTGGAGTTTGGAGAAGTATAGACATTTGCCAGGAGAAAAGGGGTAGAAGACATAGGACAAGACCTGCAGGTGTGAAAGGAAGAATCCAGTGCAGTGTGGGTAGAGTGATCGGCAGTGGGGAGCTGTTGGAGGGTTTTAAAAAGGGAAGTGACTCTGGGAGGCCGAGGCGGGCGGATCCTTTGAGCTCAGGAGTTCGAAACCAGCCTGAGCGAGAACGAGACCCCGTCTCTACTAAAATTAGAAAGAAATTAATTGGAAAACTAAAAATATATAGAAAAAAAATTAGCCGAGCATGGTGGCGCATGCCTGTAGTCCCAGCTACGTGGGAGGCTGAGGCAGGAGGATCGCTTGAGCCCAGGAGTGTGAGGTTGCTGTGAGCTAGGATGACGCCACGGCACTCACTCTAGCCAGGGCAACAGAGTGAGACTCTGTCTGAAAAAAAAAAATAAATAAATAAAAAAGGGAAGTGAATGGTCAAGTTCATATTTAGGAAGTAAAGGTCTTCCAAATGCCTTCTGCAGCTAAGCACAGACTTCTCTCTAAAGGCAGACAGAGGGCATGGTGGCTCATGCCTGTAATTCCAGCAATTTGGGAGGCTGGGTCAGGAGAATTCCTGGAGGCCAGGAGTTCAGGACCAGCCTGGGAAACATGGCAAGACCCCATCTCTACAAAAAAATTTTAAAAATTATCCAGGTGTGGTGGTGCACGTTTGAGGCTGCAGTGAGCTATAGTCATGTCACTGCACCCCAGCCTGGCCAACAGAGTGAGGCCCTATCTCTGGGAAAAAAAAAAAAAAAAGAAAAACCCAACAAACAAACGAAAACTAAAGGTAGATGGATGAGGATGAGGGAAGAAAGCAATAGAGCGAGGATGTTCTTTTTCCATTTTTGTTTCTCTCTTTAGTGGCTCTGACTCTTGTTCCCCCACGCTTAGTCACTAAAGGAATTAGTGAAAGAATTGGGGTTACTCTTGGCGGGGAAAATCAGGGCCTACACCCTGTATCTTTAAATCTCTGCGGGACTGCCTTGGAGCTGAGAGGCCCAAGGAGACATGTCCTCTGAGCCTCCACAGGGCACAATGATGTGATGGGGTGCGGTGAGGGGGCACAAGGGTATTATAGACAGAGAGGCTAATTTGGGCTCATCCTAAAAAGCACTTTCTAACTGCCAGCGTTATTCAACAAAGGTAGCCTGTAAGGGGGTGAGCTTCCCTTTATGAAGTATAGGAGCAAAGACTGGGCACAGCTGGGAAAGCTCCGGAGGACCAGGCCAGTGGGAGTTGAACTAGATGGCCTCTGCAATTCTAACTCTGACCTTGAGCGAGAGAGGGAGGGGATGGAATCTCTGAGTCTGCTCTTCCGCACAAACCTCTTCTCAACAGAGCCCCTCACAGTCTAGATAGCCACTGCTGTCGCTGACGGGCCCACACCTCTCTGGGACAGCAGCCACTCGCGTACACGCAGGGCAGGGGAGCCTCCAGCATTCTTTCTCTATTGCTCTGAGACCCTGCAGACAGCTGACCTCTCTGGGCCCTCACCCGCTCTCTTATTTCACAGCAGAGGTGGGCGGGCCATGGCTGTTATTCCCATTTCACTGATGGTGTCCTGAGGCCAGAGAGGCACAAGGAGTGTCCCAGCCGACACTGGCGCCCAGGCCTCTGAGTCCCAGCCTGGGTCTCTGCTGCACACCGGACCACGATGATAGGTTGGCCTCATTCTTTGTTCTGAAGGTGGGGACTTCTGAAGGTTCCTGGGCTGCTGAGATCCTCCCCAAATCGTGTTGTCCAGAACTCTGGGCAAGATGGACCGTCTCACACCTAAACCTTTCAAATGATGGAAATTCTAGCCCCCGTCCCACTTCTCCCAGACAGACTGAAAGGTCTTCCCGAGGGTTAGTGCACATCCTTTCTGTGGTACTCTGTCTTCTTGGAGGTGGAGAGCAGCCAGCCTTCCATCACCAGCTAAACTAGAGGGGAGGGTGGCGGGGGCTGGGGCTGGGGAGGGAATGTGAGAACCATCGAGCTCTGAGGGGAAGAGCCAGGAGCCACTGCCTCCCTTCCTGGCCCAGCTGGTGAGAAATTTTTTAAAGCAGTTTCCACTTCAGGCCTGTGGGAGAGGAACAGTAATTACTACCATTATCATGTAAATGTGGTTTACATGTTTTATCTCAGTTAATCCTCCAACAAACTTTTTGAGGCAAGTATTCTACACAAGGCTCAGAGAGGTCATCCAACATGTCCAAGGCCACACAGCAAATAAGTGGTGCAACTCTGCTACAAAACCTGGGTTGTTCAGATGGAAATGCTTATGCTCTTAACTGCCCATTTTCTGGGTGAGGCAAAGGAAGCGAGAGAAGCAAAGTCACTGAGTAGTGTCAAGACTGGAAGCAGGTTTGACTCATGGTCCAGGGAACTTTTAATGTCTGTCTCCACCCCTCTCCACCAGGCTGCTGGCTGTACCTTCGGTTGAGGATTTCTAACACACTAACCCCATGTGAAAGTGCTGCTGGGAGGATGAACGTTGACAAGTGTGTGTGGTGTGTGTCAGAGTGTCTCTGTGTAAGCGGGAGCGTGCGTGTGTCTGTCCCTGGGTAACTGTGGAAGAGCCCTTGGGGGCATCTCCCTTTTAGCTGTTCCTAACACCGGGACTGCAAAGTTTGGCTCATTTTCTTCCCACGGGCATTAGGACAGTATGGTGTGGGCTCTGAAACCAGTCAGCTTGGGCTCGAATCCCACTCGCTGTGAGGCATTGGGCAACTTACTTCACCTCTCTGAGTCTTAGGTGCCTCAATTTTTTTTTTTTTTTTTTTTTTTTTGACAGAGTCTCATTCTTTTGCCCGGGCTAGAGCGAGTGCCATGGCGTCAGCCTAGCTCACAGCAACCTCAAACTCCTGGGCTCAAGAAATCCTTCTGCCTCAGCCTCCCGAGTAGCTGGGACTAGAGGCATGCGCCACCATGCCCGGCTAATTTTTTCTATATATTTTTAGTTGTCCGATTAATTTCTTTCTATTTTTAGTAGAGACGGGGTCTCTTTCTATTTTTAGTAGAGACGGGGTCTCACTCTTGCTCAGGCTGGTCTCGAACTCCTGAGCTCAAGCAATCCGCCCACCTCGGCCTCCCAGAGTGCTAGGATTACAGGCGTGAGCCACCGCGCCCGGCCTGGTGCCTCATTTTTGAAACGAGGATAAAGTACATACCTCACAGGCAGTTATGAGGATTGAGTGAATTAATAGAAGTAAAATATTTCGGTGTTTCCTGAACACGTTGAGCGTTTACTAAGGCTTAGGTAATAGGTTGTTCTGGAGCTGCCACCCCGTGGGCGCAGTGCCCACCGGGGTATCTCAGTCCCCGGACTCTGTCCCCATCACAGTTCGAAGAGATAACCCCACTGTAACCGAGGCAGGCGGCAAAGAGGGGAGAAGCTGTGGGGGAGGCCCCTCCTCCTCACCGGCCCCTCCCCGCAGCCTGCCCACCAGGGTTTTACAAGGTGTCCCCGCGGCGGCCCCTCTGCTCGCCCTGCCCAGAGCACAGCCGGGCCCTGGAAAACGCCTCCACGTTCTGCGTGTGCCAGGACAGCTACGCGCGCTCGCCCACGGACCCGCCCTCAGCCTCCTGCACCCGTGAGTCCCCCTCCTGGCTGCACTGCGGAGGGTGGGGGGGGATCCAGGCAGCGATGAGCCCGGGGCTCAGCACTGGGGACCATGGGGGTGGGCGTGGGGAAGGGGAAGGCGGGGTGGAGGGATGGGACCCTGGGGCGAGGATGGGGGCTGGGGCCTTGGGTTAGAGGAACCAGGACAACTGCGAGAGTCCAGACGGAGGCTGAGGTTAGGACTCGTGGCCGATTACCTAGTGGAGGGCCCCTCCCCGCCCTCACCTCGCCTTTCCCTCCAGCCGGGAGGGGGACTCTGTCCCGCGCACCGTCTGTTCTCGGTCCGTACTCCCATCCTCATCGCCTCACTAACTTCCTCCCACCTCATCACTGATTGACCCACTGCCACGTCCTGCCCCCAACGGGTCCCCTCAGCCCCGTGCCTCCCCACCCGCTGGGGTGGATGAGCCCCCATCTCGGTTTATCCATCCCGGTCCCCTCACTGACCCCCACATCCCCGGCCCTCCCGCCCCACCGCCCGTCTTCGCTCATCCACCAGTCACCTCACTGCCTCCTGTTCCCTCCTCCTTGACTGACCCCACGCCCCCGGCCCTCCCCTTCACTGGGGATGGATGAGACCCTCTCCCCGCTCATCCATCCGGGGCCGCTCCCTGGCCCGCACACCCGGTCCAGGGCCGGCCCCGCTCCCCCGGCCGCGCCCCGCCCCCGACCCCGCCCCGCTGTCCCGCCCAGGGCCGCCGTCGGCGCCGCGGGACCTGCAGTACAGCCTGAGCCGCTCGCCGCTGGCGCTGCGGCTGCGCTGGCTGCCGCCGGCCGACTCCGGCGGCCGCTCCGACGTCACGTACTCGCTGCTTTGCCTGCGCTGCGGCCGCGAGGGCCCGGCGGGCGCGTGCGAGCCGTGCGGGCCGCGCGTGGCCTTCGTGCCGCGCCAGGCCGGGCTGCGGGAGCGCGCCGCCACGCTGCTCCACCTGCGCCCCGGCGCGCGCTACACCGTGCGCGTGGCCGCGCTCAACGGCGTCTCGGGGCCGGCGGCCGCCGCGGGAGCCACCTACGCGCAGGTCACCGTCTCCACCGGGCCCGGGGGTAAGGCCGCCCCGCGCCGGCACCTCCCCCACCCGAGAGACCCCGGTTCCTTCTGCACCCCGCGTCCTCCCGAGGCCGCCCCCGTCGGTCCTACAGGGAGCCCTCCCACCACAGCCACCCCAAATAAGCCACCACCTGTGCAGGCACCCAGCATGTCTCCAAGAGACTAAGGGACCACAAAAGCCACTGACCCCGGTGACCCCCACCAAGGGTCGGCCACCTTCTCCAAGTCCCCCGGGAGGGATTGGGCATGCAGGGACTCCTTGCTGCTGGGCTAGAGACCATGTGAGCATCTCAGTGGGTCTGCCTGAGCCAGTGGGCGCTCCCCTTTCTCCTGGCCACCTCGCGGAAAGCCTTTGTCCCACACTCAACTCTGCAGTTTGTCTCGCCCCCGATTTCCCAGAGAAAAAGAGGTGGAAAGTCCCTTACTCTGTGGCCTTCCCTTTTCACAAGTTTCAGTAGGAAGCAGAATCGTACTTCCCTCCCTTTTGTCTCAGAAAGAGAGGTCCTGTCGTGTGTCCCCTGCCTCCATCTCTCGGCCTCTGCAAGGGTTTTGCGGCGTCGCCAAGGGCAAAGGAGCGCGGAGAGTAGGGCTGTAGGAGCGTGGAACCCACGGGCCAGCGCGCTTGTGCGTCTGGAAATGAGATAAATAAACGAAGATAAACCTTTTTCTACCACACCTTCCTCGTTCTTGACATTTACTTGTGATCTGCCTGAAGGTGCTGGGGTGCACCTTCCAGTAATCCCTCAAGTGTCCTTTGCCAGAAAGATGACAGAGTGGTGCCATTTCTGAGTCTTCAGATCTGAGGGGATGGGATTGGTCTTTCCACCCTGCTTCCCTGTCTTCTGTGATCCCTCCTCTCTACCGTCTGGCAGTTGTGTTGCACAGGAGCAGTCTGAGGCTAGGGTTATTTTTATTCTTTTGTATGTAACTTTTATAAGTATTTTTATTCTTTTATAAGTACACACACACACACACACACACACACGTTTGAATAATTTCTTAACGTACTGATGAAAGTAAAAATTTAACCAATATGGATTTCTTTTGATTGAATGTGGTTGGGACACAGCAAACTTTTTGAACTGCACAACTTTTTGTTTTTTCTGGAAAGTTTTCTTCAGCGAGTGCTTCGATTAAAACTTCCGATAGCTCCACTATATCTCTTAAGGATATCTCTAAGCCTTAGGTTATACATCCCTTTTCTGATTCTCAAATCTTGTCACTTCCTGTATCATTTTTAACTCTTAATCCATTTCCTCTGTGTTTTAGGAGAGATTTTCTGATTCGTCTGGTTTTCTGGAGTGCAGTGGTGTCATCATAGCTCACTGCAGCCTCAACCTCCTGGGCTCAAGTGATCCTCCTTCCTCAGCCAGTTCTGTTCTTTACTGTCTCTAATGTGATTTAACATTCACTAATGCATTTACATTTTTAAAAATTCGATATGGAAAAAGAAAAAAAATCCATAATCTTACTATGCAGACATAAACAACTCTTAATATCTTGGAGTATATACATCTAGAATTTTTTTCTATCTTTTTCTCTGTATTTTTAAAAAATTTATTTAAGAGATGGGATCTTGCTTTGTCACCCAGGCTGAAATACAGTGGCCTGATCATAGCTCACTGCAGTCTCAAACTCCTGGGCTCAAGTGATCCTCCCACCTCAGCCTCCTGAGTGCCTGGGATTACAGGTGGAAACCACCACGCTCAGCTCTTTATCTCTCTGTATCCATCTTTATAACTAACTACTATAAAGTCCCTTTTGTATAATACAGTCACACACCACATAATGATGTTTTGTTCAATGATGGACCACATTTATGATAGTGGTCCCATAAGATTATAATGGGACTGAAAAATTCCAATTGCCTAGTGACTGTGTAACAGTTACCTACTGTTTTCAGTACAGTAACACGCTGTACACCTTTGTAGCCTAGGAGCAATAGGCTATATCATACGGCCTAGGTGTGTAGTGGGCTATACCATCTAGGTTTGTGGAAGTACACTGTTATGATGTTCACACAATGATGGAAATCGCCCAACGATGCATTTCTTAGAACATATGCCCCGTTAAATGACACATGACTGTGTATGTAATGCTGATTTCTATCTGGCATTTCATATTAACAGCCCTAACTGTTGTTTTGATATAGATGGGTTTAAAAATCATGTTGAAGAAATACTCTTCTGTTTCTATTTTATTAATACAAATACTAAGCTTTCACTGAGTGCTGCTCTGTGTTTGGCACTGCGCAATATGATTTTCTACAGTAATTCATAGAAATGGAATGATACTCATTTTTCAAAACATGAAACAAGTTGGAGAAGCGTAGAGAGATCGGTCTGTTCCTAGATTTTAAACCTAGGTGTGTCTGCCCCTAAGCCATATAATGTTTCTGCTTTTTACTAAACTATTTTTAAAAATCAGGAATGGATGTTAATTTTATAAAATACTTCTTAAGCACTTTCAAGATGACTGCATTTTCCCCCCCTTTGACCTCTTGGTATGGTGAATTCTATTAATGAATTTTTCAATATGAGCTCTTTGCATTCCTGGAGTATACCCTACTGGATATGAACATGTTATTCTTTTAATATTTTGCTGAGTTCACTTACTTATATTTTAAGATTTTTTCCATCTACATTTGCAAGAGAGATTAATGTTTTTTTGTTGTATTCCTTGTCAAGTTTTGGCACTATGGTAATGCTGGCTTTGGAAAAGGCATTAGGAAGAATTTCTTCTTTTTCTCTGCTCTGGAACAGTTTAAATGGCACAATTACACATTCCTTAAGGCATGAAAAACTGTCTGGGAAACTTTCTGGGCCCTACACCTTTTTTGGGGAGAAAGTTTGATGATATTTCAATCTTTTCTATAACTTCTTGGATCAGTTTTATTAATTTGTGCTTTCTTAGAAAATCTTTTGATGATCTTTGTCTAATTTATTATTAGAACTGTATATTTTAAAACTTTCTCATCTGGAGTGAACTCCACTTTCTCTTTCTTCATAGTGTATGATTGTGATTTCTCTCTTTTTTCTTAATTATCCTTGCCAAAAGTTCAGTTTATTGGTTATGAAAAAGAATCAGCTCTTGAACTTATCAACTCCACTATTCTTTACTTTTGTCACTTATTTTATGTTTTCTCTTTATTAATACCATCCTCCTTCTTTCCTGAAGTCTTTTTCTAGGTGAAGTCAGTGCTTAGTTATTTTTTGTTTTTATTTTTTAAACCTATGAATCTTCTAAGTATAGCTTTGGTCATATCCAATATGTTTTTATACATAATATTATCACATGGTTAGTATTTTAGGGTTTTTTGAGGTATAATTCATATACCATAAAATTCACCCTTTTAAATTGTACAATTCAGTCTTTTTTTTTTTTATATATTCACATGGTTGTACAACCAGCACTATCTAATTCTATAACATTTTCAACACCCCAAAAGGAAACCTATTAGCAGTAACTCCCATTCCCTCCACCCCCTCCAGCTCCTAGTAACCACTAATCTACTTTCTGTTTCTATGGATTTGTCTATTCTGGGGATTTCAATACATAGAATTATATGATATGTGAACTTTCATGTCTAGCTTCTTTCACTTGGCATATTTTCAAGGTTTATCAATGTGGTAGCATATATCAGTACTTCATTTCTTTTTATGGTTGAATAATATATCCAATTGCATGGATATACCACCATTTTGTTTCTTCATTCATCAGTTGATGAACATTGGGCTGTTTCTAACATTTCAGCTATTATGAGTAATGCTGCTGTGAATATTCATGTATAAGTTTTTGTGTGAATATTTTCAGTTCTCTTGGGTATATACCCACAAGTGGAATTGCTAAGTCATATGGTTATGGACCCAATTGTATCCCACCTAAATTCATATGTTGAAACTCAAAGGCACAATGTGATTATATATGGAGATAGTGCCCTTGAGGATGTAATTAAAGTTAAATGAGGTCATAAGGGTGGGCCCTAATCTCATAAGACTGGTGTCCTTATAAGAAAAGGAAGAGACACCAGAGGTCATTCATTCTCTGTCTGCATGTGCACAGAGGAAAGGTCATGTGAGGACACAGCAAGAAGGTGGCCGTCTGCAAGTCAGGAAAAGAGCTCTCACCAGAATGCAAATCTGCTGGCATCTGGATCTGGGACTCTAGCCTCCAGACCTGTGAGAAAATAAATTTTTGTTATTTAAGTGGCCCAGTCTTTAATATCTTAATATCTTATTATGGTAACCTGAGCTGACTAATAAATGTGGTAACTTTTTGACTTTTGGAGGCATTGCCAACTGTTTTCCCAAGCAGCTGTATCATTTTACATTCCTACCAGCAAAGTACAAGGGCTCCAGGTTTTGCACATTCTCACCAACATTTGTTATTGTCTTTTTGACTATATCCATCCAAGTGGATATGAAGTGATATCTCATTGTGGTTTTGATTTGCATTTCCCTAATGACTAATGTTGAACATCTTTTCATGTGCTGGGTTTTCTTTTTGTCATCAAGTTATATGTTATAGATATAGATATTCTGGACAGAATTGTGTTAGACCCTTGTGTTAGTTTCCTGGGGCTGCTGTAACAAGGTTCCAAAAAACCGGATGGCTTAAAACAAAAGAAATTTATTGTCCACAGTTGTAGACGCTAGAAGTCTGAGATTAAGGTGTCAGCAGGGCCATGCTCTGATGGTTCTAGGGGAGAATCCTTCCTTGCCATTATACCCTCTGGTGTTTGTTGGGATGTTCCTTGGCTTATATTAATAGATACATCTCTTCATTCACATGCCTGTCTTTTCCCTGTGTGTCTTCACATCATTGTCCCTCTATGTGTGTGTGTCTGTGTCCAAATTTCCCCTTTTAATAAAGATACCAGTCTGATAGGGTTAGGACCCACCTAATGACCTCATTTTAATTAGATTGCCTCTGTAAAGACCCTCTTTCCAAATAAGGTCATGTTCTTAGGTACTAGGGGTTAGGACTTCAACATATCTTTTTGGGAGACACCATTCAACCCATACAAGCCTTATCAGATATATGATTTGCAAATACTTTCACCCACTCTCACTTTCTTGAGAGTGTCCTTTGAATTTCAAAAGCTTTTAATGTTGATGAAGTCAACAATTTATTTATTTTTTCTTTGGTTACTCATGCTTTTGGTGACATCTCTAAGAAACTATTGCCTAATCGAAGATCATGAAGATTTATACCTATGTTTTCTTCTAATATTGTAGTTTTTACTCAAATTATTTTAGAGCATGTGTTTTCACTTCCAGCTGACTTGATTTCATTTTATCTTTTTGTTTCTGATTCTGCTGCTCCAAGGTTAGAGAAAGAGGTTTGTATCATTTTTACTCTTTTTTGCTAATTAACAATTGAAATTTTCTTTGTGGTATAAAGCGTTGGTAAGCGTTTAAAAACTATTTCATGGCTACTTTAAAACAATGTTCATTATTTTGTAGTATAGCTTTCTCTCTCTCTCTCTCTATATATATATACTCACACACACACAAACACACACATACACACATATATATATATATACACATACATACATACACACACACAGATGCTTCTTAACTTACACTGGGGCTATGTCCTGATAAACCCATCATAAACTGAAAATATTGTAAGTCAAAAATTCATTTAGTGCACCTAACCTCCAAACATCATGGCTTAACCTAGCTTACCTTAGACTCTAGGCTAATGTAAGAGCTCAGAACACTTACATTAGCCTACAGTTGAGCAAAATAATCTAACACAAACTCTATTTTATGATCAAGTGTTGAATATCTCATGTAATTTATTGAATACTGTGCTGAAAGTAAAAAAGAGTGGGTTCTATTATTTCACACCATTGTAAAGTAAAAAAATCTTAAATGAAACCATCATAAGTTGGGGACTCTGTGTGTGTGGTGTGTGTGTGTGTGTGTGTGTGTGTGTGTGTGTGTGTGTGTATAAAATTAACTACATTATTTAGTTTTTCTATTTCCTTCTTATTTTCTATTTGATGTTCTAAAGACTGCATGAGAGGTTTAAGTTTCCCATTCTGCTTGTGATTTATTGAATACTGTGCTGAAAGTAAAAAAGAGTGGGTTCTATTATTTCACACCATTGTAAAGTAAAAAAATCTTAAATGAAACCATCATAAGTTGGGGACTCTGTGTGTGTGTGTGTGTGTGTGTGTGTGTGTGTGTGTGTGTGTGTGTATAAAATTAACTACATTATTTAGTTTTTCTATTTCCTTCTTATTTTCTATTTGATGTTCTAAAGACTGCATGAGAGGTTTAAGTTTCCCATTCTGCTTGTGATTTTGTTAAAATTTCTTGTATTTGTAATGAATTTTCTTTTAAATATTTTAATTTTGCTAATGCACTTTTAGTTTCCACACAGGGCCTTTCTCACTTTCTCCATTTTTACCTCATCTTATTTCTTTTTCTTCTCCACCTGTTTTCTCTGTATAGCCTTTTGTACCTGATTGGTGGAGGCTGTGTCTCGGTCTGTTACCCAGGCTAGAGTGCAGTGGTGTCATCATAGCTCACTGCAACCTCAAACTCCTGGGCTCAAGGGATCCTCTTGCCTCAGCCTCCCACATAGCTGGGACTACAGGCTAATTTCACCATGCCAGCTAATTTTTCTATTTTTTGTAGAGACGGGGTCTCGCTCTTGCTCAGGCTGATCTCCAACTCCTGACCTCAAGTGATCCTCCTGCCTTGGCCTCCCAGGGTGCTAGGATTACAGGCCTGAGCCACCACACCTGGCCCGTAGGTATCTTTTTAAAAGCAAGAAACCTTTTCTGGAGTCCCTTAGCTAATTTCTCCTTTTCTTGGCCAGAGCTAGATTACAAGCTCTGCCCTAAACCAGCCTTTGGCAAAGGGAATGAGTGCACACAATGTCTTAGAACAACCAGAATTTACCCAGGTCATCCATGGGGAGACAGTAGACTCTGAATCAAGAATTGGGCTCAGCCAGCAGGGAAGGGGGACAAGGCTGTCTGCTGCACCCTTGGCCCACTTGGGCGCCGGCTGAATCTCATCACGAATCTACAGCTGGAGAGCACGTGCCTGGTCTCAGTTTTTAGCTCCATTCTCAGCACTCTTCAGGCTTTCATCTAATGTGTCTCTTTGGGGCTGAAATGGAACCATGTCCTACCTCTATATCCCGGCTGGCTGATGCTTTCAACAAATGTAGTTCAAAAAATGACATTCTTAGCTCTTCCTATCTCTGCCTCCCATCTGTATGTAGCTGCAAGGGACTGTGTCTCTTCCTAGGATGCTTCCTCACTCCTCTCCTCTTTGTGTCCAGGTCTTTTCTGAGAGCGGCCCTCCCAAAGTGAATTTAGGCTGAGAGGCACTCCTCCGGGGATAGGGAAGAGACTTTTCCTCAAAAGCAGCTCTACAGTAGAGTGGTGGCTGTGCATTGTCCAGTTGACAAAAACCTCGCTGTTTTTAAAGGGTCAGACACTGAGGAGAGGAAGAAAGGATTTTTCAAGTTATTTTTAGAATGGGAGGCAATGCCACTCTGTGGGCAGCAGAGCCTGGGGGTTCATTACAATTCCACTTTTTGATCTAGTTCCACTGGCTTTATCATAAGTAGAAACAAGCCACTCCACGTCCCAGCCCCCATTCTGGCGATCTATTGTCAAGACCCGTTCATGGTGATGTTGTAGGTTTTCAGCTATTTCTGTGTGTTTATGTTTTCATTGGAATTTGGGAGAGACTTGGGGTGGGGGCTGCTAGATGGATACCGTTTAAGACTAGAAGCCACATCCGTGCACTCGGCAAAGACTGAGTTGTGTGTGCCGTCTCCACTTTCTTGCCCCATTGCTATCTGGTACCTAGTTTCCTCAGTCCCCAGAAGTCACCAGGAACCTCGCATTTTGAATCATCATCTTACTTGTCTCTTCTCAGCACATGACACTGCTGACCCCTGGGTCCTCTTGCTGGTAAGCTTGTGCCGAGAGCTTGCTCTGTGGCAGGTGTCATGCGGGGCCCTTCACATACTTTGCTTCACAAAGTTCGCACAGCAAGCCTAGGAGGTGTCGTCATTGTTTCCATTTCACACAAGAGATAACTGAGGCTCAGAGAGCGAAATTACTTGCTTATGGATCAGTAACCAGCTGATAACCGGAAGAGTCAGGAGGGAACCTTCTTAAATGTTCTCTTCCCTGGGCTTCTGTGACCTTACTCTTCCCTGGTTTTTCTCATACCTCTGTGGCTCCTCCTTTTCAAACTTCTCTTCCTTTGCCTGTCTCTTAAATGTTGGTGTTTCTCAGGCTTATTTCCTAAAAGCTTTTCCTCTTTTTCTATGCATTTTCCCTGGGCAGTTTCATCCAGTCACCCTTTGTTTAAGAGACAGGGTCTTGCTCTGTCGCCCAGGCAGTGGGCAGTGGACAGTGGCACGATCACAACTCACTGTGACCTCAAACTCTTGGGCTCAAGGGGTCCTCCTGGCTCAGCCTCCTGAATAGCGAGGACTACAGGCATGTGCCATCATGCCCAGCTAATTTTTCTTATTTTTGTAGAGACGGGATCTTGCTATGTTGCCCAGGCTGGTGTCAACCTCCTGGCCTCAAGCAGTCCTCCCACATCAGCCCCCCAAAGTGGTGGGATTACAGGTGTGAGCCACCGAGCCTGGCCTCTTTTTCTTTTATTTCTTTTTCTTGCCTAATTGCTCTGCCTAGAGCTTCCAGTATTCTGATGAATAAAAGTGGTGAGAATGGGCATCCTTGCATTTTTCCTCATGTTAGACAGAAGCTTCCGGTCTTTCACCATTGAGTATGATGTTCACTGTGGGCTTTTCATATATGGCCTTTATTATGTTGGGGTGATTTCTTTCTATTTCTAGATTGTTGAGTGTATCACTTCGTACTTTTAAAATTTGTTTATGATGGCTCAATAAGAGCTAACGTATTAGCTATTTACCAGACCGCTATTAATACAATAGTTACGTAGCTGGTTTCCCTGCCTCTAAATGCTGTCTTTTATTTCCAAACCACAGAAAGTGCAGAAAGAGCCTGGGGGATTAGAACCAACCACCTTGAGGGAAGCTGGGTGTAGGGGGTGGGGAGGCGGCGGTGAGACAGGTGTGCCTGCCCGGCTCTCACGGAGACGCTCTCCCCTGTGGCCACGCCCCTCAGTGGATCCCTAGCCCCGTGCACAACCCCTTAGACCACGCCCAGGTCCCTAGCCCCGCCCCACAGCCCCGCATGCCCCGCCCTTCCAGCATCCCCCAACCCCGCTCCAGCGCGGCCCCAGAGCAGGTCCAGGTGGAGAATCCCACATGACTCCCTTTCAGTGCCTTGGGAGGAAGATGAGATCCGCAGGGACCGAGTGGAGCCCCAGAGTGTGTCCCTGTCTTGGCGAGAGCCCATCCCCGCTGGAGCCCCTGGGGCCAATGACACGGAGTACGAGATCCGATACTTCGAGAAGGTGAGTGCAGGTCTGGGGGGACCTGGTGCCTGCCCCCTCTCCTACGGGCTTCCTCTTCTTCACACCCTCCTGCCAGCAAAAGTCCTTCTTACTTCCCTTGCAAACATGACCACCAGTCTCCTAGGTGGCCTCCCTCGCTTGAATCTCTCCTTTCTTCCTGTCCCCTGCACACCCAGGACTCCAGCTCTTCCTCTTCCCCCAGATCTGCCTCCATCACCAGACATCTCCATTCTCACCGCTTTGCATGATAGTTACAGTTGACCAAGCGCTTTCTCTGGGGCTGGTCCAGATTTTGTGTGGCTGAATCTTATCCTTACTGTTTGTAGCACTCTTGTTAAGAAAGAGGACACAGAAGTATCATATTGTTTCTAATTTTACTAGAATGTGTGACCATGGGAGCACATTGCTAGGTCTGGTGGTGTGCTGGTGGGTGTCTAACAACCAGCTCTCCTGAACAATAAATGTATTAATTGTTATAATTTTACTGATATAAAAGATGGGTCACACATCATTTACAATAAAAATAAAATATATACAATACCCTTCATTGCAGATGCCATCTAGCCAATCAGTTCCCACAGGCTACTTCTGCTGATTTTTGCTGACCTCCTGTATCCATTGTCGGTCCATGGTTGCAGTTCTGCCATGATTTGACAAATGCAATTCATCCCCCTCCGCGATCTCTTTTCCCCACAAGCTCCTTATCTTCCAATCTGATATGCAATCTACTGCTAAACTGTTTCTCACACTGGTGCAAATTATATTCATTAAAATGACACCTCTTTCAGCTTCAGCACTACATATGCCAGAACCTCACTTCAGTGGCACAAGACTTCTTTGCTGAATCAGATAACAGGTTTTGAATACTAGCAGTCTGTTGGGAGTGTGAGTGCTGGAGGTGAACAGGAAGGAGGAGGGCGTCTTGAGCCACTGCTGGGCGTGTGACCCCAGTAACCCAGAGGATGGGGTGCTGCTGGCTGTGATGGAGAACCACTGAGGGGAAGGGGCAGGCTTGGGGCAAGGGGGTGAACTTGGTTTGCTCATGTAGCATTCAGTGGGCCGTGGGGTGGACTTGCGGGTCTGAAGCTCGAGGGAGTGGCCTGAGCTAGAGAGAGAGAGAGAGAGAGAGCGTGTGTTGGGGGCTTTAGCATAGAGATGGTAGCAGAAGCCAGGGACTGGAGGAGATGACCTACGAGGGGAATGTGCCTGAGAAGAGCAGCCAGGACAGAGCCCTAAGGAACGCTGATGTTTAGGGGATAGAGCAGAGGATGCTGGGAAGGAGCTTGGTATGCAGTAGGTGTTTGGAAAGGACTCACTGACCTGGCATTTGGGGATCAGAGTATAGATAAGAGCCCCATGGCTGAGCTGGGTGGATGCTCCTAGGCCCTTAGTCAGGGAGGGAGTACACATTTGCTGGGCACAAAAACTTTCAAAAAGAGGAGCAAGGATAAAAGAGGCTATGTTTGGAAGGCTTCAGGGAGGTCTCATGGAGCCCACTGATCAGAGGCACCGCTGGTCACTAGGCCTGGGCGGGTGTTGGGCAGCTCCCCTCCGGAGCCACAGCTCTTCTCACCTCGACCTCTCTCTGCACCCCAGTCCAGCCTCCTCTGCAGAGGGGCTTGCCCATGCACATTGTGGCACCCAGGGTGGCAGCCTTGCTGCCTCCTCCTCCCTGCCCCCAGCCTGCCCCACCTGGCAGGTCCTTTCAGTGGCTTGTTCAGATGCCTGGAAGGGAGATTCCAATTGGCCCAGCTTGAGTCCAAGTCTGCCCTGATTCCTGAATGCCGTGGCCAGATAACTGAGGCCACAGAATATCAGGGGTGAGGGTGCCCTTTGGGGGGCTGTGGACGTGGCTGGGCTGCAATAAGGTATGGGCAGAGATGAAATGACGGGAGGAGCTTCTCTAGGCCATGCTATTGGGCAGCAAGGTGTGCAGCAGAAGGCACAGGGTCTATGGGGACTCAGAGGGCATCACCCCAGCCCTTCCTGGGCATGGAGCTCCCCTGCAGGAGGAGATAGAGGCTGACTCCACAGGGCGGCTGTGAGGCTGGGAGGAGGTGCGACTGTGAAGGGCTAGGAATGGGTGGGCACTTATCAGTGACAGCAGCTGCTTCTCCAGCCCTCCAGCTGTGGGCCTCGGGCCAGTCTTTACTCCTCTGAGCTGGGTTTCCTTGTCCAAACAAATTAGTTAATACCACTGTCCTGTGTGCCTTGCAGGACAGTTGTGAAAATCAGATGCCAAGGGGAAGGAAAAGCCTTGTGAGCCCTCAGGACCCTCGGGTGTCAGGGCTCATCTTATTCTGTCCTCTGAGGGCATCAGGCTCCCAGGGCACTGGCCCAGTCCACCCTGGACTGCCAGGCCCTGGTGGCTATCAGCCCCGAGGAGGGTCCAGTGTCTTCCCTAAAGTTTCTCTTACAAAAAGGTGGGGCTATTCTCAGATGCAGGTATCACCAGTGTGGGGTGGGAACTTGTGTTGGGGAGAGCGGCCAGGCATCCAATGGAGAAGATCTCTGGAATCCCCCAAGACGATCCCCCACCCAACCCACGTTCACCTAAGGGTGCTTCTCCTGCCTCCCTATCCTTTTCTCCCATTGATCTCCCAGAGAGTGGATCTGGCCCTGGGTCTGGGCCTCACTTCTTGTTCTCTCCTCAGGGTCAGAGTGAAGAGACTTACTCCATGGTGAAGACAGGGGCGCCCACGGTTACTGTCACCAACCTGAAGCCGGCCACCCGCTACGTCTTTCAGATCCGGGCAGCTTCCCCGGGACCCTCCTGGGAGGCCCAGAGCTTCAACCCCAGCATTGAAGTGCAGACCCTGGGGGAGGGTAAGTCGTGTGTGGGACCTGGGCAGAGAGAACCTGGCATGGGGCTGAGGCAGGCAGACAGACAGAGGGGGAGAATTATCTATGCAATTAAGGCAGGCTGCAGAACAGTTTAATTACAGCCTAATTAATTAATGAATCTGGAATCCACTGACTAATGCCTGTTCCCTGACATGAATTAGATTGAGTACCTGTCCTGGAGGAGCTCACGGGAGAGGAGTTCAGCTGGAGAGAGACTCAGTTGGGATAGAAACCCAAACATGGGAGGACCCTGTTCCTTTCCCCTCTGGGCCTTAGAGTGTGACGCAGACTGCACTGAAGGATGAGGGAGATGAAGGGAGTTGCACTGCTACAATAAACAAAATACCATGAGCACTGTGCACTTTGAGTGAATCGCGTGGTATGTGAATTATATCTCAATAAAGCTGTTACCAAAACAAAGCAAAACAAAAGCTGAACATCGAGGCCAGGCGCAGTGGCTCATGCCTGTAATCCTAGCACTCTGGGAGGCTGAGGAGGGAGGATCACTTGAGATCAGGAGTTTGAGACCAGCCTGAGCAACAGCACGACCCCGTCTCTAGTAAAAATAGAATAATTAGCTGGGCATGGTGGCATGCATCTGTAGTCCCAGCTACTCAGGAGGCTGAGGCTGGAGGATTTGCTTGAGCCCAGGAGTTTGAGGTTGCTGTGAGCTATGAAGCCGCTGCACGCTAACCAGGACAACCGAGAGATATCTTGCCTCAAAGACAAAACAACATCAAAAAAAAAAAAAGCTGAACATTAAATATCCTGATCTTTTATCTCTGGCTCCTCTGTGGAATTGTGCTTGCCCTCCCTGTTCAGTTCCCCCCGCCACCGGCTCCCCGCACAAGTCTCCTTTCTCCACGTGCGGAGCAGTTCAGCTCTCCTGTTGTCCTGCCTGCTGCCAAGCCAGCCCTCAGGATCTCACCTCCCTCTACCCTGAGCAGCTCACGAAAGGATTTTCCTTGAACAAAGGCAGTTCCCCCTAAGAGGCATTCTGGCACCAGCTGTCAAGATAACAATTCTTTCCAGCCTGCTACATGACTGTAATGCAAGCTGGGAAGAGCTCTGAGCCCAAAGGAAGGTGGGGAAATGTTAAGAGTGTTTGATTCCGGGAAGGAAGACCACACCTCTTCCTTGAATGCCTGTCTGTGTCAGACCTCGGCCAGGTGCTGGGAAGAGGAGATTAGAGCTATGTCTTCAAGGCTGGGGAACATGTGACTCTGGGGAGATGGGCAGGGAGGGCATTTTGGGTAGAGGAGGCCATCTGAACAAAGGCTTACGGGTAGGCTGGGGTGGGCGTGGCAGGGACAGGAGCAGGGGGCTGTCAGCTGAGGAGGGCTGATGCTTTCCCTTCATTTGGTGCCTCTCAGCAGAGACTGCTCAGATCCCCAGCTCCTGGCGGTGGCGCTGGCCACGGGGGAATGGTTTTCCCAATCTGCAGAGCACATTTTCCAGTGAGCTGTGACCCCAAATCAGGATCTTGATGAAGAGTTGTGCTTCACCACTGTGTTAGTTATCTATTGCTGTGTAACAAATGACCCCAAATCCTAGCAGCTGATGACAACAAACATTTCTTATCTCCTGGTTTCTATGGGTCAGGAATGTGGGTGCTGCTTAGCGAGGTGCCACTGCCTCAGCCCTGAGACTGGCTCAGGGACTCTCCCAAGGCTGCGGCCAAAGTGTCCTCTGAGGCTGTGGTCATCTCAGGGCCTAACTGGGGGACAGACCCCTTCCCTGTCCAGTTCTTGCTGGCTGTTGCTGGAGACGTGCCATTCCTACGGCTGCGCAGCAGGGCAGCTAGGTTCTTTCTGCGCCTGTGAGTGAGTGAGAGCGCGAGAGGGCGAGCAAGACACGAGCCACAGACTCTTATAACCTAATCTTGGAAATGACAGCCCATCATCTTTGCCGTGCTCTATGCATTAGAAGTGAGTTACTAGGTCCAGCCCCCACTCAAGGGCAATGAATGGGAGGGTGGGGGGATCCACGAGGGCTGTCTCAGAAACGCCCACCCAGGGTGTCTTCGTCTCATTCTCCATTTCCGTGACCACATGGCTGCCCCATTTCAAACAGTTCTTGGCAACTCCGCTCCCCTTCTGCCCCCGGCCAGACCCTGGGCGCTGGAATGCCCTCTTTTGGCCCTAGCCTTGTTGGCCGTTAACTCTCCCTTCTTCTGTCCCTCCTTGCTTGCTCTGTGACATCCTAAGGACAGCTGGATCCTCAGCACTCCTGGCTCTTAGCCCCTCCTGGCACCACGTCCATCTCTCCCAGCCCTGTAGATTATCTCATCACAAATACTCACCAGCTTTGCCAGTCCTCGTGCCCTGGGTGTCTTGCTGCACCTACCCTGCTAGTCCCCAGACATGGGCCATCCTCCTCCTCCCGTCCCATGCTGAGGCTGCCTGCAGAGATGTACTTTTCCAATCTCACAGTCTCAGTTCAGTCTCAGTACTTTCCCCAGTTTTTTTTGTTTTTTTTGTTTTTTTTTAAGGACGGGTTCTCTTTATGTTGCCCAGGCTGGTCTCGAACTCCTGGGCTCAACCTTTCCTCCTGCCTCAGCCTCCTGAATAGCTGGGACTGTAAGTGCACCACTATGCCCAGCTCCCATTCTTTCCTTTTTTTCTTTTTTGAGACAGCGTCTTGCTCTGTCACCTAGGCTGGAGTGCAGTGGTGTCATCATAGCTCACTGCAACCTCAAACTCCTAGGCTCAAGTGATCCTCCTGCCTCAGCCTCCCGAGTAGCTGGGACTACAGGCATGTGTCACCACACCCGGCTAATTTTTCTATTTTTTTTTTTTGTGGAGAAAGGGGTCTCGCTCTTGTTCCGGATGGTCTCAAACTCCTGACCTCAATCGATCCTCCCACCTCAGCCTCCCAGAGTGCTAGGATGAGCCACCACACCCGGCCCCAGCTCTCATTCTTGATAGTTACTCCAACCCTTCACCTCTCTCCAGCACCTCCCCTCCATTCTCACTCCCAACTCAGCAGATACCCTCATTCCTTTTCTTCTTGGGCAGGAACTCTGTCCACTGTTCCCGGGCTCCCTGTCACCCACAGGATAAAGTTCCTACTCCTTAGCTTAGCGTTCAGGGCCCTCTGGGTTCTGTCTCCCTGAGTTCCCTCCATCTTCCCACCCTCCAGCTTCGTGTCTTGCCACTCTGCCTTCCTGCAGTATGTTTTCCAGCCACGTGGGATGACTTGCCATTTTCAGACCCAGCATGTGCATCTAAGCACCATCAAAAACCTTCCAATCTTTCAGGTGCAGTTCAGATGACACCTTTTTTGCGAAGCCTTCCTCATTGGCTTTAGGAAGAAATTGTTGTGCCTCTGCTCAGCTCTGTCCATTTCCCTGTTTCTGTTTTCATTCCACAGTTATGATTTTTGTTTCTGTCCCTCTCACAGGTCTGTGCACTCCTCCAGGGCAAGGACTCTGCCTCATTCATCACTGTCTCCCCGGTACTAGTGCCAGCTTCGCACATATGTTGGGTAGATGGATAGGCTCAGGGCTGAGACCCTCTCTTGGAGAAATAGTTCAAAGTAGAAGCTTTGGAATCAGGCAGAGGCTTTTGGAGTTAGGTTCAAATCTTAGGTTCACTTACTAGCTATGTGACCTTGGACGAATTACAACATAACTCTTCTCAACCCCAGTGTCCTCAGCTGTAAAATGGGAACAGCAATACCTTACTGGATCATTGTGATGATGAAACAAGGTGATATAGTTGAGGCACATAGCCTGGTATCTTGCATGGAGTAAGTGTGCATTCAACATTAGCTCTTTTTGTTGTTGGTGGCGAATGGTCTGCATTAGGGGCAGGGAGCTCAGAGCAGAGGCCGCTCCCTCGACAGAAGGACTTTAGGCTCCTCTCATTGCCATCCGAAAGGAAGGGAGGCCTGCCCCTGCCTGTCTGGACTCCTCTCTCTCAGAGCTGGGCTGCAGTGGGGGTGCCCTGTCCTGGAGCAGAGGAAGCTCTTGGGACTCCAGGGGCCACTGTGGTCAGTGGGGCTGCCTTGGTCCCTCTGCTACTGGGAGGCAGTGCCAAGTGCAGAGGTGCCGTGGGAGTCCTGCCATGGGAACAGGACTCTGTCCTGGTGCTTGCCCAGAAGCCTGATCCGCTGCCTGCCTCAACCTCGTGGTTTTCCTCCCAGCTGCCTCCGGGTCCAAGGACCAGAGCCCTGCAGTTGTCGTCACCGTAGTGACCATCTCGGCCCTCCTTGTCCTGGGCTCCGTGATGAGCGTGCTGGCCATTTGGAGGAGGTAGGTGGCTGGTCCCAGCCTGGGTGAGCCCCGGTGGGTCATGTCCCTGTGCACGTTAACATGTGCTCCCTGGCACCTCTGTCTGCACCTGCAAGCACACTGCTGTACTGATACGGCCCCTCCCCCGCTCGCTGCTCCTCTGCAGCCAGCACCGCAGCTCTCAGCCCTGCAGCGCTCAGCCGCTCTGGGATGAAGGGGATTTAGCTCCTTAACTCATTAAATGTCAGAAGGCATCACTGAGGATGGAACCAAGCTCCAGCTGCTCTAGTGTGATTAGGATTCTCTTGAGGCGCTCACAGGCCCCCAGCCCCTGACCCCAAGGGATCCTGAGGCCCTTGAACACAGGCAAAGGGAAGACTGGCAGAAATTGTGTGTATGCATGTGCATGGGAGGGGGAGGAAGGAGAGGGGAAATCATGAGTCAGAAACCCGTCCCCCTCCCCCAACAGAAAGAAGCTTGCAGAAGGGTGGGCAGGGCAAGGGGAGTGGGAAGAGGGGGAAGATGTAGAGCTTCGGTCTGGTTGAGTCTGGCTGGGAGAAGATTCCAGTCCTTTTGCAAACAGCAGGGGCCTCCTGGCATTTATCCCCCCTTGTCCCCAGGGTGTTGCTCTGCTCAGAGGCACCCAGGTGGGTACCAGCTGGGCTGAGGTCAGCAGACTAGAGAGGTTGGAAAGCCTGCATGAGATGGGCTGGAGTCGGGGGCACAGAGGAGAGAGCTATGCAGGCTGGGGAGCCCCCTCTGCAAGTCTCAGCACCTTGGAGCCACCTGTGTGCTGGAGGGACAGTGAGCATTCATTTGACACTGGCTGTTTGCTTGCCCTTGAATGAGGCACTGAAAGTGAGGAGGAGAGGACGCTGTCCTGCCAGTCTGGGAGCCAGCGTGCCTGGGCCAGGAGAATCAGGAAGGCAGGACAGAGTAGGGGGCTCCTTCCCCACGGAGCTTGAAGGTCCATGTGCTGCACCTGTTGGAAGAGGATGGACAGGTGCTGAGAGGTGCCGTCCTGGCTTTGAGCTTAGGGGCTGTGGAAGGCAGAGGAAGAAAGCGGAGAGAAGTGAACAAGGAACATGTCCTCTGGACAGAGGCTCTGCAGGACAGAAGCAGCTGCCTGGCAGAGCCTTGGGACAGGTGCACTGGAACAGGCAGGGTAAGCCAGTGGCGGGTTTCAAAACTTGCCCCAAATACAGCTGCACTGAAATGGGGAGAAGCAGCCTGGTCTGGTGCTGAGGGGTAGAGGGGCATACTCCTCCAGCCCGGCACACCGTGCCATGTCCCTGTGGTGCCTGCTCTGCACTGTCTCCTCACCTCCAGTGTCCCTCCCTCTCTGGCTGGCCCCAGCTCATACACTTCTCACTAGACCATGTGGCCCAGTGGAATCTTCTCTTTTCTTCCTTACCACGCATCCTGTCATTCCTCCCTCCACTCAGCCTTCCCCACTTCACCTCTGTCCATCTCCCCTGGATGTTCCCCTCACTCACAGAAGTCCTGTCTCTACCCAGGGTGACTTTAATAGCTGTTGGACAGCCTGTCCCACCCCATGCCATCTGGAAGGACCCTCTCTCCTGTTCCACCTGGCCTCTGGGCCACACCCTGCCTCAGTGCTTAATTCAGTTCTTCTTTGGGCCTGTGGATGCCTGTCCTTGCAGCCTGCTCTCATTGCACCTGCTGTCGACTCTCCCCACCCATCTGCACACCTGCCTGCCTTTGCACCCATTCTCTCCTCCTTGGCTCTAGGGGAGGTGCCTCCTTCTAGGAAGGCCAGGTTCAGTCCTTTTACCTACAAGCGAATCCTACCCTTCTTGCCATCTTGAGAACTCATTATTATTAATTTATTAAGTATGGAATGTCCAATTTCCTTAAGCACTAAGTTTGACACTTAATATCTTTGACATTTCATTTTGAGACTTCCTGTTTTTGTGTGCTTGTGTGAAGGTATATCCTCATTCTTTCAAATGCACATTTTGGGTTGTGATTATCTTCCAAATTTTTTTTAGAGCAATTTTTCTGAAACTATGGGTAAGTGTTATTTTTTAATATGAATTTTGTCATGGAACCAATGCAGCGCAGATAGCTCGAAATACCAACAAAGTGTTTGGGAAGGATCTGGCTAATGAATGCACAGTACATCCATGATTTGAGAAGTTCCATTCTGGTGATTTTAATCTTGAAAATGAGCCATGTAGGTGACCTGCGACCAAGGTGGATAATGATGAGCTGAAAGCTGTAGTGGAAGTGAATCCATCTCAACTTATGCGTGAATTAGCAGCAAGGTTTGATGTTAGTGTTCCAACAATATTGGACTATTTGAAATAAATCGGCAAGGTAAAGAAGCTGGATAGATGGGTTCCACATGAATTATATGAGCATCAGAAGAGAAATTGTCTTGAGGCTTGCCTTTCTATGTTGTTACAACATGAAGGTGAACCATTTCTACATCGTATTGTTACATGTGATGGAAAATGGATTCTTTTTGACAATCACAAGCATTTAGCACATGGTTGGATAAAGATGAAGTGCTGAAACACAATCCAAAACCGAATATTCATCAAAGCTAATGGTGTCTGTTTGGTCCAGTGCTGGTATTATCCGCTATGACTTCATGAAGTCTGGTCAGTTGATTACAGCAAATGTCTATTGCAGCCAACTGGATGAAATGATGAGGATGCTTGTGATTAAGCAGCTGAGATTGGTCAGTAGAGACAGGCCAATCCTCTTGAAGATCACATGTCACACAAACAGTGCTGCTCAAACTACAGAAGCTGGACTTGGAAACTCTCTGTCATCCGTCGTATTCAACAGAACTTGCACCAACTGGCTACCACTTCTTCCAGGCTTTGAGCCACTTCTTACAAGGAAAAATATTCAATTCTCAACAAGCTGTGGAAAACAGCTTCGCAATTTCATCACCACTGGCTCTTCAGCCTTTTTTGCTGCTGGCATAAACAAGCTACCGTTAAGATAGCAAAACTGTGTTGATAGTTTAGGTACATACTTTGATTAATTGTACTGCTTCTTGTTTGCAACATAATAAACTACACTTTTGATTTGAAATCAGACATTTCATATTTAATGACCTAATACTTATAATGTCCCCTTCTCTGCAACATAATTCTAATGTATCTTGAGGCTTAGTAAGCAATCTGCATGCTAATGTCAGGCGGGGCTGTCTTTATCTTGATTTTATTAAAGAGAAACTGAGCCACCCAGTCCCGTAGCTCCTGAGTGGAGGAGCCGGGAAGCAAGTCCCTGCAGTGAGATCTCAGAGCCCATGCTGTCAGCGCCCTCCCACGGCCACTTCGTCCCATGCAACAGCCTTGCTACTCCTTCCCCTTGGTGTTGAAACGGGATCATATCTCTCTTTTGAAACTTTTGCAAGGTCTTCCTTTAATCCCTCCTCTTTGTGCCTTCACATGATCGCTCTCCCCGTCATCCCCCTCCACGTTCTCTGTCCTTGGTCCCTGTGACATCGCTGCCCCCAATTTCCTTCTTCTTCTGCTTTCCTTCTTCTTCTCTGGCAGTTCTTTTGTGGTCTCCTCCGTGGCTTCCTTCTCCTCTGGCCAACCTCGAAATGTTGGGGTTTCTCAGCCCTGTTCTTATCCCTCTTCTCAGGCTCCATCCTGTCTCTGGGCAATGCTCATGGCTCCTGAATTTGTATCTTCAGAGCAGGCTGCTCTTCCAGGCTCCAGACACACACTCGTCTAAGTCCCTGCTCAGCGATCCTCCCTGCTTAGCCCACAGGCCCCAGGAGCTCAAATGTCTAAAGGTGAACTTTTTGTCTCTCTATCTTGGTAAATGGCAGGCACCACCATAAACTCTGCTGAGCAACTTTTCCCTCTCCCCTTCTGCCATCCAGCAATCTCAAAGCCCTGTGGCCCCTGACACCTTCATGCCACTCGAGTCCTCTTGCCTCTGTCCAAGCTGGGACAACAGCAGAAGCCTCCACTCAGCAGCTGGGATGCTCTTTCTAAAATGCAAATTGAACTGTGGCAGTCCCCTGCTCAAACCCCTCAGGGGCTCTCCTCTGCTTCCAGAATAAAAGCCAAAGTCTTCATCTGGACTAGCAAGGCCCTGCCTCAGGGGGCTCCACATGCGAGCCTATGGCTTTGTTTACTCTGATGCAGTCTTTGGCCCGTGGCTGCCTCTGTCTCAGGAGGCCATAGGCAAAGGCCTCAGACCAGGTCAGGTCTGTCTGTCCCTATGGTGCACGGCCCTCCTCCTTTGATGGGGACCTGTGAGTGGCCTTGTAGTTAACTCTCCATGTTCGCTTTCCAGACCAGACCAGAAGCTGTCCCTAAGTGCAGGGTCTGCCTGTCTTATTCACGCTCTTTCACCAAACCAGAGGGGGCTTGCAGCCAGGGGTGTGGATTGGGTGCCTCTGGAGTTGCAAGAATTTTTCATGGTGTGTCGAAGTGAAAATAGCTAGGAATGTTGGCGGTGGGGAAGGTTAGGTCTGGGGCTAGGCTTGTACGTGTGCTGTGGGGAGCAGCTTTCAAACCAGCTGGACAAGGTCCCTCCCCTGGGGCACACACTTTGTCTTTTTGAAGTGACAGAGAGGTGCTGCCCGCCCTCAGTGCTGGTGAATTGGGAAGGGCTGGGGTGGCCTGGCTGAAAGAAGGACTCTGCACACCCCTCCCCCAGGCCCTGCAGTTATGGCAAAGGAGATGGGGACGCCGGCGACGAAGAGGAGCTGTACTTCCACTGTGAGTTGTCAGGGTCCGGCTGGGGAGGGGCGGGCTCCACCCGACCTTGCTCCTCAGCCCTCTTCCTCGCTGCCACTGTCCCACCCTGGCGATGGAGGGCCGTCACCTCAGGCTCATTTCTTTCTCTCCCAGTCAAAGTCCCGACACGTCGCACGTTCCTGGATCCCCAGAGCTGCGGGGACCCGTTGCAGGCTGTGCTTCTGTTCGCCAAGGAGCTGGATGCGAAAAGTGTCACTCTGGAGAGGAGCCTCGGAGCAGGCAAGCCCCTCCCGCCCGCCGCACCCACCGTATAGGCCTTGCTTCTGCCTCGTCCTCACCTCCACCCCAAAGTCCGCCTCCACCCAAATCCCCGCCCATTCCTGGAGGCCCCGCCCATTCCTGGAGGCCCCGCCTCCACCCAAATCCCCGCCCATCCCTGGAAGCCCTGCCTCCCCGCAGAAACTCCGTGGCCCACCAGATTTCAGGGAAGAGGGAGGCGGAAGAGTCTGTGGCTCTGCCTTCCTACCCTCTGCCGGTCCTCAGCGTCACCCTGAGACCTCTCCATTCAGGCCTGTCGGGGTTGGCCTCTGCAGACTGCCTCTGGTAACTTAGCGGGCAGGGGCCTTGGCAAGCTTGGGGGCCAGACACACCTGAGTTGTAGTTCCGGCTCTACACTGACCAGTGTGTAATCAGGGGCATGTCCCCTGTCTGCTCAGAGCCTCAGTTTCCTTGTCTGTGAAATGGGCATATCTTCCTCACAGGGGGCTGATGTAGGGACTTCACGGCCCAGCCCAGGGCCGGCTCATAGTAGGTGCGTGCTTTCCAAGGGTCAGTGCTGCTGCTTCTCTTCCTGTCTGCAAACCCCCAGTCCCCTGTGCTCAGAGAAGGTAGCCTGTTTCACTAGGAATCTGACGTTGTCCCGACACTGTTGCCAGACCTGCTGGACAGAAGCCAGAAAGGGGCAGTGTGGCAGAATAGATGTCATCGTCCTCCGTCCTGGGTCACACTGGCTTGCGCAGCATCCTCTCTCTGAGGCCTGGAAACCTCTGAGGTGGGCAGGGAGGAGTCCCTGTTTCACAGAGAAGGACAGAGAAGGAAACTGAGACCGAGACAAAGAGATATAGTCTGAGGTCACACTGCTGGTCCTCAGTGCACCAGAATTTTTTTTTTAAAACCACTTAGGTTTATAAAAATGACAGCTTAATCTTATTAAGTATCGTTTTTAAATAAGAGAAACTTAAGATTGAAGCATTTTAGAATTATACCAACCAAAGAACTAAAGACAAAATCCTTTAGTTTTAAAAATTCTAGAAGTTGCTTTTTGTAATTAGACAATCTGAATTCTCTATTTTTTCACATATAGTTTCCAACCTCTCCCTTTGGGTCTTTTCCTTTCTCCAGGAAGGGAAGGCCACAGTGGCGTGACTAACCGGATGGGTGTCAGTAGGCTCAGCTTTCTCTGATCGTCCTGGCTGTTGTCTATTTCTTGCGTAAAACCAAAGCCAACAACGACAAAACCAACACTAACGAGTGCTTCCCCAGCCCTACCCTTCCCCAGTGACCTGCACGCATCTCAGGATCCCCCTCGAGCACGTCCCTGCCCTCAGCAACTACTACCGAAGCCCCTCTGCTTTCTTCCTGTCCCTTCTCAGAAACGTGTGGATCCAATTCTTAAGGGTCCTCCCTCCCACGAAATCCTACCTCCTCCCCTTCCCAGATACATTCCTGCCCTCTCTTCTTCCTCAGGGTCTCCTACTCCCACATACGTGCCAGGCCGGAATCCTTATACTCATGGTGTCCCCTCAGGGCATATTCCAGTTCCTGTTCCCCCTCGGACACACCATGGTCCCTTCCGTATCTTTGATGTACTCCTTGTGACCCACAAACTGCCCCCAGGTTCATAATGTCATAGGCCCCTCAGGTTGCACCCCCAGCCTGATAAACACCATCTTGCTCTCCTTCCGGAGTCCCCTCTCCCCATACCTGTTTCCCGCCTGTCCCCCGGAACACCCTTTGGGCCCCTCTCCCTGCCCCAGGGTTCTACAACCTTTACCCACAGCAAAGTATCCGGGCTCCTGGGCCCAGGGACCCAGTTATCTGACAGGCCCCCCTGACTGCCCTCAGTCCGGAATGTCTCAGGGAGCCAGTTTACCAGAATTTGAACTCAGGAACTCTGAGTCCCAGGCTGGAAACAGCCTGTGATCCAGAGTCACTTTCTCCTCTGCTCAGCCTGCCCAGCTCGGCAGGGGTGGTGGCCTTCAGGAGGTGCCTGAAGTGTCGTTTTCCCACAGGGCGATTTGGGGAGCTGTGCTGCGGCTGCCTGCAGCTCCCCGGACGCCAGGAGCTCCCCGTGGCCGTGCACACGCTGAGGGACGGCTCCTCTGACTCGCAGAGGCTCAGCTTCCTGGCTGAGGCCCTCACGCTGGGACAGTTTGACCATAGCCACATCGTGCGGCTGGAGGGTGTCGTCACCCGAGGTAGGACCCGGTGCTCCAGCCTGCTTCCCTCACCTGTGGGAGGGGTCACCCCCGGGGACCTCAGCTTGCTTTCACTCTCCTGGAGTGGCCACTTGGACCCAGAATGACCTTCTGACTTGTCATCACACTCTTGGGGGCGGATCACCCTGACCTTGGATAATCTTTCTTAGTAGACTCATTGCACCCCCTGATCTTGGCCTTTGTCCCGGTATAGACTCCTCCTCTTCTGTTCCTTGGCATAGGGGAACCTGGGCTGGGCAGGAGGATGCAGGATTAGGGAGCTTGGCCTTGGTTCTGGTTCTCCAGGCCCAGTCTGGGGCCCCTGTGGGGAACACGTGTGAACACAGGGTGGAGCAGGCCGCTTATCACGTGTGTGTCCTCCATCCCTGGGCACAGGAAGCACCTTGATGATCGTCACCGAGTACCTGAGCCTGGGGGCCCTGGATGGCTTCCTCAGGGTGAGTGGCTTGGGCCCAGGGAGCTACCAACCATGTCATTCTCTAAAACGGAGGTCCCTCACTTTTCTCTTTGGTGGGGCTTGGAATTGGCATCGTCCCCACTGGGCAGGCTGACCTGGTGGTCACAGGGTAAACTGGAGCCCAGAGAGGGCTAGGTGACTTCCCTGGTGTCATACAGCACCAGGGGATCCGAGTGCGCAGCCCTAGCCTCAGTCTCCTCCCTCCACAGCGGCACGAGGGGCAGCTGGTGGCTGGGCAGCTGGTGGGGTTGCTGCCCGGGCTGGCGTCAGCCATGAAGTATCTGTCGGAGATGGGCTACGTTCACCGGGGCCTGGCGGCCCGCCGCGTGCTGGTCAGCAGCGGCCTCACCTGCAAGATCTCTGGCTTCGGGCGGGGCCCCCGGGACCGGGCAGAGGCTGTGTACACCACCATGGTGAGGGCCCCTCCCCAGCCAAGCCTGCTCTTCCTGTTTCCCACCCAGCGGCCCTGGAGCCCTGTCTCCCCACTTCCACTCCCTTCCCTGCTGTGTCAGGTCACTCCCCGACCCTGCCCCTCCACCCGGTTGGTCCTGAATGAATGCCAGAGTGGGCACCACCGCGTGGTCAGCTTGGTGCCTTCCCCAAGTGTGACGCTGGGAGTGGGGTCGCCTGGGAGCATGACGGGTGGGCCTGGATCTGGGGCTCGGTGGGGTGGGGAAACCTGCCTGGGACCTCGTTCCTCCCTGCCCTGACCTGCTGGCCCACCCACAGAGTGGCCGGAGCCCAGCGCTGTGGGCTGCCCCGGAGACGCTTCAGTTTGGTCACTTCAGCTCCGCCAGTGACGTGTGGAGCTTCGGCATCCTCATGTGGGAGGTGATGGCCTTTGGGGAACGGCCCTACTGGGACATGTCTGGCCAAGACGTGAGTGACCCGTGGCTCCAGCTCCTTACCTTCCCAGCTTCTTCCCTCTGACCTCTGCCCACTGACCCTCGACCTCCTAGCTCCGCCCCTCCTCTTTCCTTCTCCTTGCTTCCTGTCCTGCCTGGCCACTGCCTGGATCCTCCTTGGGCTGGTGTGTGTGTGTGTCTCGGGGAACCTAAAGCCTCCCGTCCCCCGCGGCCCAGGTGATCAAGGCTGTGGAGGACGGCTTCCGGCTGCCACCCCCCAGGAACTGTCCCACCCCCTTGCACCGACTAATGCTTGACTGCTGGCGGAAGGACCCAGGCGAGCGGCCCAGGTTCTCCCAGATCCACAGCGTCCTGAGCAAGATGGTGCAGGACCCAGAACCCCCAAAATGTGCCACGACCACCTGTCCCAGGTACATTCCCGTCTAGCCCAGCCGCACCGGGTCAGCCAGCCTCTCCCGTGTCTTCCCACTGTCCCAAGTATGGCCCCCCTGCCCCGCCTGTCCTCCCCCAGTTGCCACGCTCCCACCTGCCTCAGGCACGTCTCACCTCACTTTCATCTTAGTCACCTGAACTTGTCCTGGCCTTTGCCCCACATATTCTAGGCATGGTGACCACTGACTGGATAAATATATTTGGTTATAGTCCTAACAAATTTGTGTTTCCAATAAATCAAATAAGTGAAATTAATATTAGTTGCTCCAGATCTGGGTCACCTCCCAACCTGTCCTAGGTGTGTCCTTCCCCCGGACTGTCCCAGATACTCCAGGTACCTTTAACTGGCTCTGCCCTCACCTGCCTGAGTATCTGAAACCCTCGCCCCTTCTGGGGATGCCTGGTGTCCACTCGAGCCAGGCCCAGCCCCAGGGCTTGGCTGCCCTCCTTCTGCTGCCCTTCCGCAGCTGGCCTTTCCTCAGGAGAGCAGCCAATCCTGACCCCAGATGCCAGCTGTTGGTTGACCACAGCCCCTCTGGTCCCCAGGCCTCCCACCCCGCTGGCGGACCGTGCCTTCTCCACTTTCCCCTCCTTTGGCTCCGTGGGCGCCTGGCTGGAGGCCCTGGACCTGTGCCGCTACAAGGACAGCTTCGCTGCGGCTGGTTACGGGAGTCTGGAGGCCGTGGCCGAGATGACCGCCCAGTGAGTCCAAGGAGCCAAGGTCAAGGCCCGGGGTTTGGGGATGCCATGCCCCTGCCCACATGGGAAGCCTTAGCCTGTCCTGATTCTGGGCCCTTCCCTGGCTAGAGAAGGGGAGGGAGAGCAGAGGATGGGGCTGAGCCGCTGGGTGTGACCAGCCCTTGTTCCAGGGACCTGGTGAACCTGGGCATCTCTTCGGCCGAACATCGAGAGGCCCTCCTCAGTGGGATCAGCGCCCTGCAGGCCCGAGTACTCCAGCTGCAGGGCCAGGGGGTGCAGGTGTGAGCAGGCCCCCACTATTCTGGTGGGGGTCCAGGCCCCCAGCCCTGCCCGAAGACCCCGGCAAGCTGCGCTCCACCTGTGTGGAAGTGAGCGCTCTCTTCCTCCTCTTGGGCCCGGAGCTGGTTTGGGGCATGGCTGCCCCTCTCTCACTGCGCCTCCTGTTTTCCCCGGTCCGAACACCTCTGCTGACTCAGTGTCCCCAGAAAAGAGGTTCCAATCCCTGAGGAGGACCCCTGAGATAACAATGGGAGGAAATTCAGGGTTTCAGAGACAGAGCTGGGGCAGGGCTGGAGTCGGGGGACAGTAGATTTAAATTGCCCTGACTCGTGCCCTTCTGTCTTCCACACCCACTGGGGGCTGGGGCCTACCCCAATGGGTGTCCCTTTTCCCATGGACCCATTGGCCAGGCAAATGGTTTGGGTCTTTCAGGGGCTCCTGATCAACCTGGCAGTGACCACAGCCGCCTGGCAGCGCAGGCCTGGGAGGCTGGGCTGGAGGGGCAGGTCCTTAGCTCCCTGTGCCTTGGTGGGGCCTGTTGGACTCTGGTCAAGGCCCAGGCAGGCACAGATGGTGCTGAGCTCCAGGGCTGGACCCCAAGGGACTGAGACTCAGGAGCCGATTTCTGCTTGTCCTTGCCTTGGCTGACAGGTCAGGGTGAGGGCAAGAGTCCTGGCCAGGACAAGGCCCTGGTGCTCCCTGGGTCCACGAGGCCCCCATTTGCTTTCCTTTTATGAACTGAGTGGCTGGGACATTTGGGAAGAGCATGAAGGGACATCTTCTCCCCAGGTCCCCAAGAGCTTTGCTCTCCAGCCTTGGGGGATGGTGAACAGGAGACAGAGCGGGGTCTTCTCCGACAGTCTGCTCTAGCCCCCAGGGCACAGATAGGGAGTCAGGGCCAGAGCTGTGGTCAGAATGGGACGAGGCTGGCTCTGGAGAGCCCTTGGTCTTGCGCTGTGGCACCAGCACTCCTCCCTGTGCAGCCCAGGGATCCTCTAGGGGTGACTCCCTGGCAAGCTCCACTCTTTAGGCACTACCCAGCCTCAGTGGAGGTCTCCTCCCTCTGGCTTCTCCCAAGCACGGCGGAAGTGGTTGTGCTGAGCCAACTCCAGAGTTCCTTACCCACAAGGGCACCCAGAAGCAGTGGTGATTGGGAAGCCAGGGCCTTTGAAGGGTGGCAGGAAGGCAGCTGGGTCCGGATGAGGCCTCAGGGCCTGCATTGGTCCAGGCGCTCCCTGCCCCACGACATGTGCCTGCTCTGCTTGGCTGTGTGTTCGGGTTGGGTAGGAAGGAGATGAGGGGTGGAGGAAAGAGGTGAACGAGACACACAGCCTGCCCTCGGAGGGCTCAGACTAGATGGGGAGATGAGCTCAAGTACCGAGGGGCAATTCAAGGGGACCTTCTCTCAGAACCCCCAGGAGCCCTCGGGGTCAGTGGGAGGGTGGGCTGCAGGGGCAGATGGACAGTGTACTGATGTGTGCATATCAAGGGGTGTCCAGAAAGGCTTCTCAGCTGATGTGTAAGTTGAACAGGGACTTGTAGGTGGCAGGGGCGGTGCCTTGCCTGGGATGGGTGGAGTTTGCAGCAGCTGAGATGATGGTGCCTAGGACAAGAGGGGTCTGAGCACAGGGAAAGAACCCGGAGGTTGGAAGGTGCAGCACATCTTGCGGAGCACCCGGTGGTGGGGGACGGTGACTCATGGCAGTGCCTTTGGCCTCACCCGCCAGCAGCAGCTCCTCTCTCCTTAGAATCTCCCCCAGCCCCTGCTCCCCCTCTCCTGAGCACCTGTCCCAGCTCAGTGACTTTGGAGGTGCTGGGGGAGATTGAGATATTGCTACCATCTTTGACAGGGTTTTGGGGGGGTCCCCTGCCAGGTGCCCTCCAGGCTCTGTCTTCCATACACCCAGGGACATGGGGACCAGTCTCTCTTCTTGGGTAGACAGAGCCTCATCCTCATGTCCAGCCACATCAGTTGTTCCCTTAAGGGCAAAGTCCCCTCCCCCTGCCCCAGCTGTTCTCCAGAGGGGTGCCGGCTGTGTTGGCAGGACTTCGGTGTCCAGGGTAGATCTCCCCTCCACTGAGGAACAAGGTCCCACAACCCTGATGGGTCCCAGGCCTCAGCCCTGCACAGGCACTAGCGTGATGTGGGGCAATGGCTCTCTGGGGGCCCTTTACAGATCTATTTTTATATGGAACTTGTTCACTGGACAGACAGAGGTGGCCTGCAACCCCCATCACCCTGGTCTGAGCCCATCCAGGGAGGGAGGGGCCAGTGGGAAGAGTTTCCTTTGACTAATTCTGGAGATGTTTTTATATTTCTTGGGTTCTATGTGCAGCAGGTCAAAGTAATAAACACTTGTCTGTGATATGGTGCCTCTTTGCATGACAGTTGCTTAACCATTGTGTAGCTTGTGTGGGAGGGTTTCTGCCTCCCCTTCCTGGGGTGGGGTGTTCAGAGCATGTGTCTGAGATCTCTCTGTGTATAGGTGAATCACTGTTCCTGCCATGAAAGATGTCCCAGGACACAGGACGGAGTGATCAGGGGTGCCATAGCGAAGGCACTGGGTGCCCTGGGAGGGTAGAGAAGTATGTCACCCAGTCTCAGGAGCGGTACACGAAGGCAGGCATCCTGGAGGAGGCTGTGCCCTTCCCCAAGATAGACAATACCTAGGGTGCGGGGGGCCAGGGAATGACGTGTTCAATTTTGGATACGCGTTTTGAGATGCTTGTGGGATGTGCAGGCGGAGATGTCTAGGAGGCAGGTGGATATCTGGGTCTGGACCTTGGAGCACAGATGTGGCCTGGACAGAGCTTTGGCAACGTGTAGAAGGCAAGAAGCACAGGCTGCCGCTTGCGGGGAGGGGTGGGGGAGAAGGCGGCTTGTTGGATAAGTGAGGAGATGCAGGCAGGGATGACAAAGGGCTGAGAACACGCCTAACCCTGTAAAGGGAGATGGCACTTTAGTCAAAGAAAATTGGGTTCCAGACTCCCATTAAGTGGGGAGCTCAGTGTAGCCCCCAATCCTGATTGAATCCTCTCTTAACATTGCCTCTCAGTCCTTCCACGTCTGAAGCCATGTGAATTAGCGACTATAAAAACCTTGAGTACACGTCATGCTAAATTTTAGGTGTGGGCCAACAACTGTCATAGTGTGTGAAATTCAAGAAGGAAAACCGACTTCTCAGCGTGTGTACCCACGTGGACACTGAGACATACTCTGTTTTTCAGTGGTGGGGGGACATTGTGGAGGTAAGCCCTGTGTTGGTATGTGAACTCATCACCGGTGGAGACGGGGATACTGATTCTTTGGGGTAAAGGGCATAGCTGATGCTTTGAAAAAAATGATGCTTAGGTGATATCCTCTCTCTCACATACATACACATGAACTAGCAATCTGTGCAATTTCCCAATTTTTAAATGGTTAGCAACCAATCTGAAAAAAAAAAAGAAACCCCACACCAACCCAAACAGTGAGGGTGAAAGTATGCCTGTGGTCTGGCAGTGAGGTTTACATTTTCTTTGTCCCAACCCTGTGACAGTTCAGCCTGTACTTAAAAATCCTGGAATGGGGAACTCTTTGCCTTCTAAGCCAGCCCCTTATATGGAATAAAGGCCTGCCCTGGCTCAGTTGCAGGCACTGATTAGGTGCCTGCTGCATACCACGCATTTCCTGCAACTGGGGTCAGGTAGGCAGTGGTGCAGATGGAGTGAAACAGGGCGAGCCTGGCGCTGGGTAAAGCAAGTTGGATCTGAAGTGTTTCCTTGATGTCAGGCTCTTAACACTGCGCTAGATGATGAAGGAAAAGGCAGAAGGCCCAGGTTTGGTGACTTGTAGACCGGGCTACTTACTTGCAACGAGTAACCTTCCTTCCAAATGCTGTTACTACCAAAGGGCTCCTCCATGAACTGCCAGTGCCTAATAACCAGGCTGTGTGTGAGCCCGGATTGCTTGATGATCATTTTCAGCACAGAAAGAGTTCTAGGAAGGCTGCTCTGCCAGGGCCCCAGGAACTTCGGGAATTGAGCAACATCATCACTGAATTACCCTTGTACCTGCTTTGTTCCTGGCCAGTGGGACTTCACCATACAGGGAAACTATGGAGACGCCAGGTTTTGTCCTCCCAGATGTGAATTTCTAACTCATGGAACAAAGGTGTTGGGGGGAAGCTGCTGGGGGTTGAGGTTACCAATGCCCTGGATCTTGAGGTGATGCCCCCCTTTCAGATATCAGAGAGATTCAGCCTGAAGTAAAGGTTTTCACATCTTCAGACGAAATCAGCTGTCTAAAGACCCCTGTGCCAGTGGCTTCGGCTCCACAGTCTCCCAGAGTCCACGGAGCACAGCTTGGACAGGACAGGCAGGGTGAATACTGATTACAAAAGAAAACATAAAACCAGACTTTATTGAAAGTGGGTACCTTTCAGTAGCTCTGATTAGAACAAATCAGCTTAGAGATACCATTACTCAGAAAAACAGTACGTACAAAAATCTCACAGAAAGAAGAATTAAACTTGAAAATAATTCAACTTGAACAGGACTGAATTACTAGAATGGTTTTGTTACAAAATAATACCAAATACAAAAAAGAGCCATCCATGAGAAAACCATGTGCCCTCAAGCCTGGGGGTGAGGACTCCAGTTCCCAAATTCTTGGAACACAGCCTGATTCCCTGGGCAGAGGAGCTGGCTGGAGCACAAGGATCTCACTGCTGACTCCTCCTAATGAGTCCATGTCCAGGGCACAGGCGAAACACATGGAATGAGGCCCCCAGACAATCACACTGCCCCCCGACCCCATGAACCCCGTAAGAGAGAAGTACCCTTTGCAGAGTCTACAGACATGGCAGGGACCATGGATAGCTTAGAGATGGTTACTCTGCAGCCAGTCACAGAAAATTCCTAGAATCTAAGCCCTACAATTCCCTTATCCAAATTCCTACTAAGTAGAGAGGTAGAGGAGCAAGACATGGATGCTCTCCAAACCAATTTTTGGTCTTCAGTAAACAGGGATAAACACAAAGCACTGTGTCTGCCACAGTCAGCTTGGATGGAACTACTGGGCACAGCAAATGAAAGATTCCAAAACTCATTTAGCACCCCTGATAGCAGGAGGAGGAGGAGGGAATGGATGTGGCAGGGGACACGTGTGTCCTACTCCACTCTGCTGGTCTGCATAGTCCCCCCGGCCAATTCCTGGACCTGCCCTCTCATGGCCCAGAGCCCTCACTTCTCTGAGCCTACACGCCCCAGCCACAAGCATACATAGAGCAGAAATGACAGATGCAGAGGTTCTCTGAAGAGGGTGGCTAGGCAGTCTTCCTGAGAACATGGGGTTCTTTCACCAACTCTGTCGCAGGTAGGGCAGGGCAAAGAGGATGATGAGTTACAGGAGGCAGAAGGCAGTAGCTCAGAGAGCAGGGAGAATTCAGCTGGGAGAATGACTGGAAGTTTCCATTGCATGATGCAGCAGGCAGTGGCTGGGGTCACCTGGGCTGGGGGGCTGAACAACAAAGCTTTATCTAACTGATGTGGGAACAATGTGTCTCCCCCTTCCTGAATTCCCCAAGAGGAACACCGCTCCCTGCTTTGGAACTTCACACACAAACAGTAAGCCCAAAGGGAAGGAGTCTGTTAGAGTCCTAGAAGTGCCCATTCAAAGTCCATCCTATCAAGTTTTGCTTCTCACTTGTGGGACCGTATGCTGCTGCAGATTTGGGCAAGACGGCTCTGAAAAGAAAAGGAGACAAGTCACTTAGAGAAGATGGCACTTGGTGTGCTTGCCCAGTTAACCACTCACAGTCTGCCCGAGCACAGGTCTGAGGGAATCAGCCCCTCCATCCTCTATCTGTATCACACACTAATTAATCTTTCTGAACCTCAGTTTCTCATCTGAACAAAGGAGTAAAATAACATCTGAAATGCGATAGCGAAGGTATCACGTGAGATAACTCGGGAACAGCAATACTATAGGCCCAGCTAGAGGATGACTGTCACAGGATCTGGGTGGTTGGGTGTGTGTGGGATCTTAGCACTGGGCCTATGTTCAGTAGGAGTGTTTGGGAAACCAGCTCTGCCTTGACCCCTTCCCTGGATGTACCATTCATACCCCAGAGAAGGCAAGGCCGAAGGCAGCCACGTTTGCCCTAAGTGCTCCCATCCACCAGCCAAGGCCACGGCTGATTGGACCAAGGAGGTTCATCCTTGGCTGAGGTGATTAAATTCTTCCTCTTGAGAATTTAAACTAAGACAAGAAACTGAACGGTGCTGGGCACTGAAGCACTAAAGTTACCCAAAGCTACCTACAAAGCAATGTTAAGAGAGAACAGAACTAAGGGCCTTGTGGAGAGGGTTATCTGCTGAGGGGGGAATGAAGACGTGCAGAAGGGAGTACGTGGGTCCTGGAGACAGAGATACTACGGGAGCTGGCACACCAGAGCGAAGGCCCATCATGGCCTCCTGTTGCTGATGGGCACCCCCAGCTCCGCAGGCCTGGCCGTTCAGCTCCCTCCACAATTCTGTGAGATTCCTGATAACAAGACCCTCCCCTCATTCTTTTTTTTTTTTGAGACAGTCTCACTGTGTCGCCCAGGCTAGAGTGCCGTGGCGTCAGCCTAGCTCACAGCAACCTCAAACTCCTGGGCTCAAGCGATCCTTCTGCCTCAGCCTCCCGAGTAGCTGGGACTACAGGCACGTGCCACCATGCCCGGCTAATTTTTTCTATATATTTTTAGTTGTCTGATTAATTTCTTTCTATTTTTAGTAGAGACGGGGTCTCGCTCTTGCTCAGGCTGGTTTCGAACTCCTGAGCTCAAACAATCCGCCCGCCTCGGCCTCCCAGAGTGCTAGGATTACAGGCGTGAGCCACCGCGCCCGGCCCTCCCCTCATTCTTGAGCTATTATAGGAAGTTTCAGTTCCTGGCAGTCAATAGTGCCTAACATCCCCTGGCACTAACTGCCTGAATGAGGCAGAATTGTGATTCTTTTGTGGAACTTCTGTGGGAGGTACCCTGGAATCAACCAAAACTCAAAATCAGTTGAGGAAGAGAATTGCTACTATGTAAGTAGGAAAACTGTCAAAATCCCTTGGGGAAAAGGAGACAACACAATTCTAAGTTTAAAATATTAGCCCAAGCCACGCATGGTGGCACACGCCTGTAGTCCCAGCTGCTTGGCAGGCTGAGGTGGGAGGATACCTTCAACCCAGGAGTTCAAGGCCAGTTTGGGCAACATACTGAGATTCCCATCTCAAAATAAATAAATAAAATAAAATAAAAAAATATTAGCTCAGAACCCAAAGACAATTCTAAATAAAGGCAAACCAAGAAAGCTATTGGAGGCATCCTATGTGTAGAGATGAATATGAGACTTACAGAAAGCTTCTTAATGTTTCCCAAGGCCTCTGGATCCAGTTGTGCAATATTGAACCTCTGCAAATCACTGGCCAATAATCGCATGCTCTGTATGGAGGAAAGTGGGTTAAACTGGCATGTCTCTTAGGGCAGGAACCCCCATCCAGCAGCCCAGTATGTCCCAGGGGGTCCCCCAAAATCCTGCACTTGGTGGCAGGAAATGGCTAGGATGGAGACATGGCAAGGCAGGCAGGAGGGGTATTAGCCCCAAGGAAACAATGACATAATCAGTGCTATCACTGGGTAGGTGGCTGGATCACCTGGGCACAGAGGTCCACACATTAGCTTAGGAATGCCCTGCAGACCATATCTGAGACAAACCCTCCTGTCCCCGATAGTGGCTGAGGTCAGCAATTTGCTCTACACAGCCCAGAGAACTGAGCTCAGCCTGCTTCAGAATCCCTCAAAGTCATACAAAGTTGAAGGCACAGTTCATGTTCCCCTTTCTAGACTAAGCATATACCCCAATAGTGCCTTCCTCTGCACGCCCTGCAATATCTCTATTACTGCACTTATCACAGAGACTATGATTTCAAACCCATCTTGACTATTGGACTGCTCAAGGGCAGGAATCATGTCTTCTATATCTTGGGTCTGCTACAATCAGGTAGGCAAACATTAGCTGATGAACAGATAGAACCCAGTCTGGGCCTCTAACCTGGAAGAGAAAACTGGGTCCTGAGTCCTGCAGAAGTGTGGAGATCAGGCCCCATGCAACTGAAAGGACTGGGGGAGAGAAGTAGGCAATGGCCCAGAGAACAGAAATGCTTGACTAAGGAGCACACTGTGGCCTGGCTTCCCTTGGAAATACTTTACCCACCTCTCCGCCGCCCACTGGCACAGTGAGGAAGATCTCTTTGCTGTCAGCAAGAGGGCTGCCATTCCCTGAGATATTGTAAATCCGCTCTCCTGCTGCTGGAGTACGCAGGCCAGGCGTCTTGAACACCCTACAGAGTGGGAAAATCTCTGTGAAGATGGCTTGGCAGACTGAATGACACCAGGCTCTATGAGCCCTTCCAAGCCCCATCTGGCCTCAAGCTGCAGTTTTCAAATCACTTATTTCTAAGAAGGCAAGTTGTAAATTTAGAAACAAATTTTTTAAAGCAGTAATGCCTAAACACAGCTGGAGAAAGGAGGTTGTAATTATCCAACATACATCTAGCAAAAGCCAACTCTGATCCATGTAAATTTAAGGTCCAAAACTCTGTATGGGTACAGTCATCCAACCATCCACACACAAATCCAGAAATCAACTAGTTAACGTGTTTCCAGGAGTGGCCAACTGCTTCCATCAAGAGGAATTTTTCAGGGGCAAAGGAGGATGATTCAGAGATGACATCATTATACCAACTTTCTCAAGACAGTTAAAATGCTGTTACCTAGTTTTCCCTAAATGTCTTGTTACATGTTCATGTGAAAAAACAAACAGTAAAGAAAAGTAGGAACTAAAAGTAGAAAATAAATTTTCCACACTCTTCCTATACCAGAGATAAACACTTCTTGCTCTACTCCCAGGCATAACCACCCTGAATTCCTTATCTATCTTTCCAGAAACTTTTCATGTATATAAAAGCAAATAGGATCATATAGTACACAGTGTACAGTAACCTGCTTGGAGAGGTTCTGTGATCATGAAGCTCCTTCCCTATCAGCACATACAGATTCAGTCTCTTTTTTTTTTGGAGACAGGGTTTCACTCTGTTGCCCAGGCTAGAATGCAGTGGCATCATTATAGCCCACTGCCACCTCAAACTCCTGGGCTCAAGAGATCCTCCTGCCTCAGACTCCTGAGTAGCTGGGACTGGGACTACATGCACACACGCCACCATGCCTGGCTAATTTTTCTCTATTTTTTATAGAGACAAGGGTCTCACTATGTTGCTCAAGCTGGTCTTGTACTCGTGGCCTCAAGTGATCCTCCTGCCTCGGCCTCCCAAAGTGCTGGGATTACAGGTGTGAGCCACCACGCCCAGACAGATCCAGTCTCTTTTAATGGCTATGCCATTAACTTTCTATTTAGTCAACTAGCCCCTTTGGAAGGTATTAACTTATGCTGCAAGGACATCCTTGTTTATGTTGGCTTCTAAAAAGGCAGTATCAATTTTCACTCCTACCAAGGGTAACAAGAGATTACCTACTCCTCTTTTAAAAACTCCTGATTTGAATCAGAAAAGGCCAAAAAAGTCACATAGAAATCTCTTAGTCATCACAGGAAGAATAGCCACCTCCCTCTCATCAGATAAAGAATCATTTTGCCACTGAAAATGGGTAAACCTACACTCAGAGGAGAGGCAAACACTGAGAAGCCCAGACAGTTACTGTTTTCCAAGGCATCCCAGGCCAAGGACTCAGGAGTATTTCTTAGATACTCCTCTTCTCTGGGTCCTGTTCAATGGTGGGCTCCCACTAAATCCAAGCACTCCTCTCCATACTCACCTTGAATCAAACCTGGGTGTCAGGCCTGGAGTTGGTTTTACCATGGACACCTCCAATCGGCCCACAGCTGGGGTAACAGTGTTAGCACGGCTTGACCTACAGGTAAAAAATGGCCATCAGGTACCCTCCTCTCAGGTCCGAGGACAGCAGAAGCAGAGTGGAGGCAGCACACGTGGAGAGCACTACTCTAGGCACCTTGCACAAACAACCCACGTGACCCTCCCAACATCCCTAGGAGGTAAGCACTGTTACCATCCTTGTTTACAGATGCAGAAACTCAGGCATATTGAGTTTTAAAAACTTGCCCAAGATCACACAGCCAATTAGGGTGGAGCCAGAACTTTGAACCCAAGCAGTCTGCCTCCAGAACCCAACTTTTCAACCAAGCTCACGAATGCAAGGAAGAAGACAGCCTCTTAACAATGCGAAGGCTCCGCTAGCTGGCATTCCTGTCCTTCTGCTAGGCAGCTGGTTAATGTCCTGCTACAGTGCTCAGGGAGAAACGCGTTCGCTCCTTCACAGACACGCATCCTGGTCACTACTTTCCTAAGCTGTTCCCCTCCTCCCCCCAGGGTTTACAGTAGGTCCAGCATAATCAATTTCAGCCCATGGAGATTCTTTACTTAGCAGGACAGACAGAACATTTCAGGAAACTAATTTTTAGGTGACAGCTACTTTGTGACTGACTGTGAGGTTGCTCTGCACAGGGACTGCCGGGCAACTAAACTTAACATGCAGTTCTCACTATACCTTTCTAGGCCTCACTCTGTTTGCGTTTAAAAAAAAAAAAAGTAGAAAAGGATAGAGAATGTATGCAGAATAACTGGAGAAGGTATTGGTTTAGACTATTTCTAGAGGCCCCTCCAGCTAGGACACTCAAGGATTCAGTGATTTTAAACTCCAGTTGAACACTAGCCACCCTTTCCAACACCTACTTTCTGCCACAACACATATGGCTCTCCTATAAAACCAAAAACACATTTAACTTTAGAAAATACATTACCTTTTCCTTTTGCCTTTTCCTTGTATGGACTGGGTTCTCTTCTTGGATGGAGGACACCTTTTAACCTGAAGTCACAATCAAATGCAGCTAAGGTTACAAAAAGCCCAGAAATGAGGAAAGGTAAGGAGAGGGGAATAAAAGAGGGGAAGGGAACCAATGCCAGAAGGGAAAGTTAATACTGAATATAAGAAGGTCTGTATTACAGTTTAGTGACTTAAGAAGTTCAGAACATAACTGATTAACTAAGAACTTCTGTTGGCTGGGTCTTCAAAATAGAGGATTTTGGCCAAGACTAAAGTAAATAAATCTCTTTTGCACTGATTTAAGCCTGGCTTGTCCACTACTTTACATAAAAGGCTGTTGTGAAGGTCACTCAGGGCATCCCACTCCAAGGCAGTCCCTGCAGACTCTCCTTCCGGAGTCCTGGGAGGCCCCCGACAAGAATCACTCCTTATCTTCTAGCGATTCTCTCCTCCCTATCTTCCACGATTGATCCATCTTTCCTACTTCTCTGGCTGTCCGAGGCAGTCTGCCTGAGGAACTTCTCTCTCTACCTTCCCTCTAGTGTCCACCTCAGCCTCCCTCCCTTCCTACTCGCCCTGCACAATGGTCACCACTCCCACGCCAGGATAAGCTCCTAAAGATCCAGAAGGCAGTGTCTCTCAATCTCCTATTTCTCCCTGAGCTCCAGGCTAAAATTTCTGTCTAGCATAGATATCCTGGAAAAGTACTGAATTTGTCAAGCAGAGACACATGCTCCCCCTTCCCCCAACCCAGCACGACTCTAGAGCTGGGTCCCAACTAGATGGTAGCTGCCTAAGCTAGAAACCATGTAGTCATCTCTGATGTCTCCTTTCCTCTACCAGCCATTCCACTTCTTTTTTCTAAAACTTATCTCAAAACCATCCCTTCCTTTTACAGTGTCAGTGCCTCAGTTCAAGAATTAACAGTATCCTGATTGGTTTCCTCATCTCATTTTCCCCCTCTCCCATTTATCTTGAATACTGTTCTGAAATACCAATCTTTTTTTTTAAAGCCAGCCAAATTTAGCAGTGTAGGGTTGTATACCAACTTTAGTGACACTAATGTTAATAAGTTCTGATAACCCATTACCATTGGATCAGCCTGAAATACCAATCTGATGTCACTTACCATTACCTACCTGACAGAATGGAAACTTCCAAGCTTGGCACACAGGCCATTCATTATCTGGCCCCTGCTGTTTCTGTTCTACCCTCAGAGATAATATCCCAGCCACACCAAACTGCTTCCCACTCCTTAAATGAACGCTTTCCTAGCTCCTCCTGCAATTCTCTTCCCTTTCTTCTCTAGCTCATGGACTTCACTCACCTTGAAAGGCCTGGCTGTGTCCTAATGGGATAGGGAAGACTTGCTAGCTTCCTCTTCTATGTTCTACATGCTTTGCACACAATCACTTTTGTTATTGGCCACTTAAAGCGGGACTGTCTCTACTAAGCTGTGAGTTCTGGGTGGGTAACACTGTATTTCATGCAGTTTTGTATTTGCTTGTTTCCTGCTATCCCCTAGCCCCCAACCAAAGTGACTACTTACCCTTGCAGTTTGAGGATTCTTATGTTTATTTTCTTCTTCTTCTTCTTCCACTATCATTTCGTTCACTTGTATTACTTTGCGTGCTATAAGAAACAGTTTTAACAGTGTGATATTTCTCATGGGAATAAACGTTCATGCATTCATATTTTTTTTTTTTTTTTTTGAGACAGGATCTCACTCTATTGCCCTGGCTAGAGTGCAGTGGCCCAATCACAGCTCACTGTAACCTTGAACTCCTGGGCTCAAGTGATCCTATTGCCTCAGCCTCCCAAGTAGCTGGGACTATAGATGCGCACCACCATACCTGGCTAATTTTTATTTTTTGTAGAGATAGTCTCACTATTGTTGCCCAGGCTGGTCTTAAACTCCTGAGCTCAAGTGATCCTCCCAAAATGCTGTGATTACAGGTGTGAGCTATTGTGCCCAGCCAGCCTATTACTTGTTATAATTAAATATTGTTACTTATAAATAATAGAAGTATTATTACAATGATCATCGTAGGAGGAAAAGGAGTATGAAGGATTTTTAAGATCAATGATTCCAGAGGAAATAATATCAATTTTTCATATTTAAGGGGTTTACATGTAGAAAATGGTTCCAGGAGGCCCCAAAGGGGAGAACTAGCATCAATATAGATACCACAAGGAAACTTTGGCTTAAAATTAGAACTTTCTAGGCAGCTTTCTAATTACAGCTCTTTAGTGATGAAAGGTGGAAAGTGTCTCACTGCTAAATACATACAACCAGGAGCCAGACAATCCTGACCAGGGATTCCATAGAGAAAATTCATGTATATTTGATCATGGGGGGAGAGATGGGACTAAATAACTTTTAAGCTTTTTTTGTCAGGTGCAACTCTGACACATTAAATAAGAATACACACATATTTATCTTTTTTAAAAGTAGCTTACATGTAGTCAAAGTCCAGTGGTCAAGAGGGCACAAAACCAACTTTAACTGTTGATTGACATTGGTCCTGGTGGGTTCAGTTCCAAGGGATTAAACCAGAAGACCCCCACTACCCCTCAAGTAAGGAAAACTGTACCTAACTGTAGAAATGACCCAAAGTAACTTAACAGATTGTAAATATGTGGCTGAGGAACTCTAGGAACATCCAAGTCTAATTACATCATAACCTCGGAGAATCAGGACTGGAATATGACACTAGGAAAGCAAAAATCTCATCATGCTTTCTTCATTCTTCGAGGCAATTCTGATAGAAGGCAAACCAGAACAAGAAGTGGGATGTTTCTGGCCCTGCCCAGTGCAGACGGTGCCCTGGTGGGCAACCCCAAAATCCTGGCTGTAGGTCAGGTCTGTCCTCACAAGAGTTGTATACACTGTGTTACTATAGCTTAATGACAGTGACATTAAATCCGTGTCACAATTCATCCTGACCCGATTCCATGCTCACTAATCACAACTTGGTTTCCCGTATAAATTTTCCTATGAGACAGTATTTTTCAGAGTACAGGACGTGTGACATGATTACACAGACAGATCACTGAGTAACCTGGAATTACATGCAGAGAAAGTTACTCCTTTTACAATTTTCATTCAACCCAGCTGATTACATCAGAGAGAGCCTCAGTTGGTTTTACCAATCTTCTGACACCTCTCCAAATCTTGCTATCTCTCTATTTAACTCAGGGGAAAGCAACGATTGGTTTCTAGCACAGCTTTTTTTTTTTCTTTTTTCACTTTCACTTTAGCTCACACATGGTCTTAAGAGTTTGATTAGTATCAGTCCTGCGTACAATTAACTGAAGGCAGTGGCCCAAAGCAAATTTTTGGATTTCCAAGATGGAGGACCAGACAGTAGAGGGAAGACCTCTCCCAACAAGACCATGCCTGAGCTGCCAACCAAACACCCTGGGCCTCAGTTCTCCATTCAACATGGGGTTTGGAGAAGTACTCACTTTTGGCAGATTTCAGAGGTGTCTGAATAGCTTCTGCTGTTAGTTTGTTTATTTCAGTGATATCCAGGTCAGCCTGTGACAAACAAAGCCAGAAAGCACCAGGCTTATTACACTGAAATATGAGGAACAATATTTTAAGATGAAAAACAATTTAAAAAACTATTATTTGATACATAATAAAATACTGTTAAATGTTAATTATAATGCAATATAGCAAACTCCCATAAACACACCACATAACCCAAGATCTAAAATATTGCCAGTAACTTGCTTGTAGCTGTGTATTCATTCCCTATTCCCTTTCCTTGTCTCTTCCCCCAAAGGTGACCAGTCTCCTAATCCTGTCATTCCCCGGAAGTAACCACTATCATTTCATTTGCTTAATAAGAAAGTACATGTGTATGGGTGTATGTGTGTGTATGCTTAAACAACATTTTGTTTAGTTTTGCCCGTTTTGATCACTATTTGTGGTTGTAGTCGATTTGTATTCACTGCTATATCACATCCCACTGTGATTATACCACTATGGATTTGTCCATTCTCCCATCAATAGTTTTGTGGTATTACAAACACTGCTACTTTGAACTGTCTTATACATGTGTCACATTGCACTGATGCACATGTCCAAGTTTTCTCTTGGTTCTATCCTTAGGATAGGGCATTGCAGGGTTAGAGGTTACATAAATATTCAACCTCGATATGCCAAATTCTTTTCTAAAGTGGTTGCACTTGTTTACACTCTATCTGCAAACAATACAAGTTCCTAATGATCCACATCCTCTACAACACTTGGTGCTGTGTCAGACTTCTCATTTTTTTGATAAGTCTACAGGGTCTCAAGGTTTTCTATGATGCTCCTCGGTCCTTCAAAAAGATTTCTAGTCATCATTCATATTAGATTTTTTCATGGTGATGACTAGCCATAGCTACGGGCATTACAAAGAGCAGGCATGATTTGTAGTCCTTTCCTCATAGGACACATGTATATATCGGAATAATTAGTACAGACTTGGAATGGCTTGGATTTTCGTCTCTGGATTGGTAGGGATTACCTGAAGTACTCAGAGAATGATTCTGAGGCTGTTTTAGGCTTAGCAAGAAACAGTGCTATAATAGATTAATGATGTCTGCCATGGTTGATGGAATGGGAAGTGGTGGCATTCTTACCAACATTCTGCTACCTCTAGAAACAACTGGCATGGTATGAAATTATCACTGGTGGCAGGCCACTGATCACCTACTGTGCAGAAGAGTTAACATAGCAGGCCTGAGACTGATGTATGTATGTAGAAAGTTTGCAGAGTTAGCTGTGGTTGGCATCTGGGAATTTGGATTTCAGGAGGGTTCCCACCATTTCTTGATAAGAACACCTCACTGTGCCCAAACTTTAAGCAAACAATATGGTTCATGCTGAACACCTGCTTTCCTTCTGGAAGTCTAGAATTTTGGTCTGTGCTAGGGAGAGGATGCCTATGAGACCAGCCCCAAATAAGAACTATGGGCATTTAATGAGCTTTTCTGAACATTCCTACTCATACTGAATTTCACTCATGTTGAATTAAGTGTGTCCTGTGTGACTCCACCGGGAGTGGAATCTTAGAAGCTTGTGCCTGGCTTCCTCTGGACTTTGCCCCATGCACTTCCCTTTGCTGATTTTGCTTTTTACCCTTTCACTGTGATAAATCACCATTATGTATGACTATGTGCTGAGCCCTGTGAGTCTTCCTAGTGAATCATCAAACCTCAACATACTTCCTAATTAAGAGCTTTTGTACATTTTTTATCATTCCTTTCCTGGGTTTTAAATCATATCAGTTAAGGTTAGTATTGCCTCAGCTTGGCACTGGATTTTTCATATTACATTAGAAGCTCTGATCTGCAGTTCTGTATGTCTAATTCATTTAAAAAGAGGGAGATGTATTAGCTTATAAGTGTAATTCATCTCAGAGGTAATTCTTTTGAAACATTAGAGCTGGGCGTGTGTGTAGTGGGGTGAATAAAATGGGTCATGGCAACATGTTGCAAAGAGAGAGACGGCATCAACTAACAATGTTTTACTAGCTCTTGATTTTAGGCTCCAGTTATCCCCACCCATCCCCTACACTATTCATCCCCAAAATTCTCTAAATTTTTCCTCATTGAACAATTGGCTCCTCATTACCTTTAACTTCTGAAGCTGAGGGAGACCTGCTAGTCAGTGCTACTATGTACCTTTGTAATCAGACTCCTTCAAACTCTGAGATTCCAAATGATTCTGATCAACTCAACAAAAGATGTCAATTTTGGGGTTCAGTATGTAAAAACTGATTAAGACTACAATAAAATTTCTCCTCAGAAAGATACACAAATGCACGTATACACACACATTGTTCACATATGATTTCAGAGGAACTCTGAAGCCCATTTTGGACTAGTTCCCAACACTGTCCAGCAGAACTTTCTGTAAGGGTAGAAATGGTCTATTTCTGTGCTGGCTAATACGGTAGCCACTAGTCACATGTGGCTACTGAACATTAGAAATGTGACTAGCATGTCTAAGGAAATGAATTCTTTACATTCATAGGCCTTCTCAAAAAAAAAAAAAAAAAGGAAATGAATTCTTAATTTTATTAATTTTAATTAATTGAAATAGTTACCTGTGCCTGGTGGCTACTGTATTGGACAGTGCAGATCTAAACTCTGTTTTAAAAAAATTATTATGAGTACACAATAGGTATATATATTTATGGGATACATGTGATATTTTGAAACAGGCATACAATGTGTAATGATCAAATCAGGGTAATGGGGTATCCATCACCTCAAGCATTTATCATTTCTCTATATTAGGAACATTCTAATTCCATTCTTCTACTCTTGCTTTCTTGCCCTGGGTAGAGTGCAGCGGCATCATCATAGCTCACAGCAACCTCAAACTCCTGGACTCAAGTGATCCTTTTGCCTCAGCCTCCCGAGTAGGTGGGACTATAAGCGCACGCCACGACGCCTGGCTAAGTTTTGTATTTTTAGTAGAGATGGGGTCTCGCTCTTGCCCTGAGGCTGGTCTCAAACTCCTGGGCTCAAGCAATCCTCCCAACTCAGCCTCCCACCGCACCCGGCCCTTTTTAGTTATTTTAAGATTATAATAAATTATTGTTGACTATAGTCACCCTTCTGTGCTATCAAATATTAGATCTTATTTTTTTTTTTTGCAGCCGTTCTTTTTGTTCCATTCCTCCTTCTATTGATACACCCATTATTTTTAAAAATTTTTTTATTTGAAATTATTATGTGTACATAATAGGTATATATATTTATGGAGCACATTCAAACTCTTTATTTTGCCTCTCCATCTTACTGCCTCCAATCCTGGTCCTGGTGCTGGGGGGAAGTGGGTGAGAGGGTTGGGGAGTACTGAGAGTCCCAAGCAAGAGCACTGCTTCTACAGTATAGAAGATAAAATAGTCTCTTTGCCAGTTAGCAGGCCAGGTCACAGTGTAATGACCCAGGGGCTTAAAGGAATTTGAGCTTGAGGATTTCCACTTCTCCTGCAAAGTTCAACGCAAAGGACTGCAAGGAACTGGCTGAAACCAGAATTGCTTCCCTTTGTACTATTAATATTTCGTTTCATGTACTTAGCAATTGACCCAACTCTAAGTTTTCAGTTGACACAAACAGATGATGTCCCCTTATGGAATCTCTTCCACAGTAAGCACCCATTGGCTGGATTTTATGGCTGGACTAGACTTAAGAACTAACCAAAAGCTCAAAAATAGGACAGGTCACTTACTGTTGCTGCCTCTTCCAGGGCCTGTTTGTTTCCTCCAAGGGCTTTAAAAAAGAATATTTTATTTAGTTACTATCAGATTTTAATGATAAATCATCTTGCCTAATATTACTATTTCTTTCCAAAACCAGTCCAGCCCTTAGTCTTTAACATTCAATAACTTTCACCATCTAGTCAATCTTTCTCCAAATTATTTCCCAAATGTGCCACTGTCTCAAGACTTTGTGCCATGGTACTTAATATTTTCTCTGCCTAAAATTCTCCTCTGTACTCAACAAATTTCTAATTCAGCCTTCAAAACTCAGCTCAAATGTCACCCCCAAATCTGCTTATGTTTCTATTTCAGCAGATCACTGCAAAGTGCTTAGTTTCTCACCCTCATCCTGCCCACCAACTCAACTACTCAAAGCTATTCACGTGTCCACCCCTGCCTTGGACTGAATTCCAAAGATGCTATCCATTGCTTCTGGCAAAAATCTAGCAGACAATAGATGTACAGTAACTGTGTGGTGAATGAAAAGGTCTTTGAGAGATTTAAATGTAGAATAAAAAGTTAGGTTAAAGTCTGCTGTTAGAAACCCCCATAGCATCCTTTAGAACAGTTAAGACCTCAGGCTTTGGAACCAGAATGCCTGGGTTAAAACAGAGAATGCCACTAACTACCTTATGAGACCTTGAGCAAAGTTACCAATCTCTCTGTGCCTTAATCTTGTCTTTTTTTTTTTTTTTTTTTTTTGAGACAGACCCTCACTCTGTTGCCCGGGCTAGAGTGCCGTGGCGTCAGCCTAGCTCACAGCAACCTCAAACTCCTGGGCTCAAGCGATCCTCCTGCCTCAGCCTCCCGAGTAGCTGGGACTACAGGCATGCGCCACCATGCCTGGCTACTTTTTTCTATGTATTTTTAGTTGTTCAGCTAATTTCAGCTAATTTCTTTCTATTTTCAGTAGAGACGGGGTCTCACTCTTGCTCAGCCTGGTCTCGAACTCCTGAGCTCAAAGGATCCTCCTACCTCGCCCTCCCAGAGTGCTAGGATTACAGGCGTAAGCCCCCGAGCCCAGCCTAAAAAAATATATTTAAAAAAGAAAATATTTTGTGACGTGTGAAAATTATGCGAAATTCACATTTCAGTGTATCTATAAATAAAATTTTATTGGAATACGGCCCATCTACGCCTATTCATTCTAGCTGTTTTGGAATTATAACAGCAGAGTTGAGTTCTCGAACAGAGAAAGAATCCTCTGACTCAAGTAGCCTAAAATATTTGCTAGCTGGCCTTTTAGAGAAAAGGTTTGCCTGCCCCGGGGACTGGATGACCGTGAGTGCGATGGAGAAAAATGAAGCAGGGAAGAGAGACAGGGAGTGGAGCAGTAGGGCTGCAATTTTCCATAAGTGGCCATGTTAAACCTCCTTGAGAGGTAACTTTTGAGCAAGTCCTTTCTGAAGGGTGTCACGATAACCACAGGGGCTCCAGGCCTCGCCCCGGGAAAACTCGAGCAGCTCTTACCGAAGTAGTCGAGCCAGTTCATCTCGCGCAGCGCCTTGGGGAGCCGCAGGATCTCGATGTTGTAGAGATTATCCACCTCCTTGAGGAGGTTCTGCCTGTCTGACTCAATTTGCTTGATTCGTATTTCCACTGCGAGAGGGCAGAGCCGACAGGGTACGGGTCACTGGGCGGGTGAATCCGAGCTGCCCGCATCCCGGCACGCGGGCACCCCGCCATCGCCCCAGGCAGCCGCGAGGGTCCGGGTCCTGCCCCTTACCTTCTCGGTCGAAGTCCTTAAGAAAGGAGGCGAGTTTCCGGCTCCGTAAGGAGTTGGTCTTGGCCGCCCGACTGCTGTCCTTCCTAGGAGCCATGGCGCTTCGGCGGAGGCTGTAGGAAGCAGCGACCGAGGAACAGGGGTCAGCGGCGGAGACCGGGAGGGGAAGCAAGGAGCCGCCAGGGGCGGATGGGGACCCGCCCCCCTCAGGGTCTCGGTTTAAAGAAGTCTCCGGGCACGTACCTGCGGTCCCAAAACAAGAGCTGAGGAAAGCTCCGCTGCGCCAGCCACGGCTAACCGCCACCCAATTCAAACTCCTCTGCCACAGGCTGACGAATGAGAAGCCACCGTCTTAGGACGGTTCCCGCAACATCCAATCACAAGGGAGTTCCTGCCGGCCAGAGTCTTGCGCCACCCCCCCCCCCCAGCGCCCTCTACAGCTCGCCTGCGCCAGCGCCGCCGCCGCGGGTCCTCCTGGGAGTTGTGGTCCGGGTCCCTCCCACCACGCCCCGCCCCGTAGGGCTGCGAACTAGTACTCCCGGCAGGCCTTGTGGCGGCCCCGGATACCCAAGCACTGGAGGCTGGGGGGCGGCCTGGGCCTGGAGGGTCGGCGGGGACAAAGCAGCCCCGGCAGAGTTTGGAAGAGGCCGGAGTCCGCGGCAGCCTCCCCGACCAAGGGGGATGGAATGACAGGGGAGAGGGGCAGGGGTGCAAGCTTTGGGGTGGGCGCCCCAGCTTGCACCAGCCCCCGGCCAATCTGGGCAGTGGGTGGGGGCAGACTTCCCGTCCCTCGCTCCCCTGTGGGCTGGCCACTCGTGCCCTGTTCGCGTCCAGGAGCCTCGGCCGGGGTGCAGCTCGGGGACCTGACGTCTGCGGAGCCTTGGTCGCGACGCTGGGTGCATGTAATGGTTCCACGCTGACGGCTCCTGCGCGCCTCAGAGGGTGACTGCATGAGGAGCCGTGGCCACCAGACCCCAGGGAGCCCAGGGCAGGAGGCAGCTCTGTGTGTCGTTGCTGTGGGCCTGGGAAGGGACATGTAGACAGCAAGCCCAGCCGTGCCGCGGTTCTGTCGGAGGCGCATCTTGGCATCTCCCCACGGCCGCAGGGTTGGATTGCTCAGGGCTTGTGCTGAAGCAAGGTTAAGGGCCAGTCTCCAGGCATCAAGGCTGTAGCCCGAGTCACAAGGCGGGCAGGTGACTGGACGGTCAAACAGGTTAGCTTTTGACGGGTTTGTGGCCTGATAGTTTGGCTTTGGTGCTTTTCACCCTGTGGATTTGGTCTGAAGCCATGTCTGAGGGGTTGTGTTTGTGTTTGAGTGTGCATGTGTGGGCAGGAGGGATGATGAATAATCCTGCCTTTCCCCTCTGAGTTCAAAACCAATCGAGGAAATAAGTAAATGTGTCAGACAGGCTCCTCGTGGGCACCAGCAGACTTGGGGACAGAGCAGCCCAAGCCTAGGAGCCCTGGCAAGGCTAGCCCTTCCTGGAAGATCCCTTCTCTCTCTCCATTCCTTCCTGGCCTTTTGCTCCAGATGCAACAAGTGTCTGAATGTCACTCTCCCGCCCAAGGTCAGCCCTGGGCAGTGGGTGGGGGATGACACCCTAGTCTGCTTGCTGGGTGCCTGAGGGTCTCCATCTAGATGGCCAAGATTGGGGGTGATAACAAGCCCGTACCTCATGTGGGCTTCCTCCCCAGCAGATGTTTTGGTGCTGGGCATGTAGGGTTTCCTGGCTTCTTCGTCTCAGGCTTCACCCCACTCCCAGTGGGTCCGACTTCTCTGGGCACCTAGGATGTCCACCTGCATCTTAGCCACAGCTACCACATGGCAGGAGCGTATGATTCACCAGTTTTTTGCCAGTTGCTTATGCCAAACACAAGTTAATCCAACAATGTCATTAAGGCACAGCTGGAGGTGCAAGCTGAGAGGGAGCGGCTCCACGGCTAACGGGACAGGCCACCGTCGCCACCCAATTCAAACTACCACAGGCTGACGAATGTGAAGTCTCCGTGTTAGAACGATCCCAACATCCAATCACAAGGAAGCGCCCCAGTCAAGCAGCTAATCCACATGCAGGACTACAGTGCCCAGAATTCATTGCGATGTGACGACATTTTAGCGACGCCGTAGCCCCGTCGGCTGGAGGTGCGCTTTAGCGGCGCTGCTTTTTAGCATCCGCAGAGAGACTGCGGGCGCGTGGGGAGGGCCGTGGCGTGTTCTCACACTTTGGTTCTCTGAGCTTTACGTTTACCCGCTGGTTTCAGGAACGTGACTGGCAGCCTCTGGGAGGGGAGACAGGATTCCGGCTCCGAAAGCACGGGTGAAAGAGGGGACAGCGCTTAGGCCCGGGGACGACTCAGTTTGAAGCAGGAGACTGCCCTATCCCCGGAGGGCCTCCTTCGAGCTATAGCCGGGACACCCTTCCCGAGGCGGGAAATAGGGGCCTGTCCATCTGAGAGCCCCTTCTGGAGGTGAGACAGCGCTTCTACCTGAAGGCATTTGGGGGCCAAGAGCTTGACCTCCCACGAGGATGGAAATGACGTGCACCTTGGCCCAGTGCTTCCTCTACTGGCTTGGCACCTTAACGCAGTTTTTTTCTTTCTGTTTTTGTTTTTTCTGACAGAAGATGACTGAAGACCTGCCTTTGCTTGCGGTGCAGGAGGCCCTGAGGAAGTGCTTTCCCGTGCTGGAGGAGCAGCAGGGCCTGTGGCAGAGCACTCTGCGGGACTGCCAGCCCCTGCTGGCCTCCCTCAGCAACCTGGCAGAACAGCTGCAGGCCGCGCAGAACCTGCGGTTTGAGGATGTGCCGTCACTTCGGGCCTTCCCAGACTTACAGGAGCGGCTGAGGCGCAAGCAGCTGGCGGCTGGTGACGCTGTCCTGGACAAGCTGGCGGAGAGGCTGTAAGAGGCTCCGTGGTGCTCTTTCTTGGCGGAAAGATTTTAAAACTGGCCCTTTTTCTCCTCTCTTGAAAGCATGGTATTTGGAGGTGTCTCAGCCTTCCTTACTTTCCATCTGTTGCAAAGGGACCTCTGTCAAAAAGCCATTTTCTGGCATTTCCCTTGTCAGAGGCCAAGCGTGGTGGTGGTGGGCTTCGTCAAAGTCACCAAAGCAGCACAGAAAAGGAGTGGCAAAAGCTTATTAGCCCTTCTAATAACTATAGATTATTTTGGTAAAAGTCAATGAGTAACTCTGCTGTAAACTCAGTAGGTGCCAGAGCTAAGAGTTTACATATGTTACCTCATAAAGTCTTTTCAACACATCTGTGACTTAACTTCACTTAATTCCATTTTGCAGGTGAGGAAACTGAGGCACAAGCAGATTGCTCATGGTCACACAGCTAGTACATAGTAGAGCTGGGATTCTGACTCAACCGTGCCTGACACCAAAGCCAGAGTTCTTAACCGTCACTGTCCTGCTATACATTGGTGTCTGTGTGCCCAAGAGTAGCATGTCCCCACGCTCTGACTTATGCCTATTGCCAGACCCTCTATCTCAGAGTTATAGATTATTGAGGACAGAGAAGAGAGAGGGCACATGTGGCTTTTCCTTGACCCAGAACACAAGAAAGTTCCAGAGTATAGGGTTTGTGCCATAGACTGGTAGTAAACTGTCAAAGATGAGGACTTTCCTTTTATTCATTTGTACAAAATACATTTATTAAGCATCTATGGGATGCCAAGCACAAGGTGCTGGGAATACAACAGTGAACCAAACTTATTTCCTGTTCTTAGTTGCGTAGAAGACATAGTTAAATTATGTCGTGATATAGTCTAAGATAATGATTAGGTGCAGCCTGTGAGGAGGGGGTAAGCTTGTGGGAGGAAATGGTGTGAAAAACCTGAAGGATGAACAGGTGTAAGCTGGGTCAGAAGGTGGGTATGAGGATGGTATGGCTAGAACAAGGGGTGGTAAGCCAGTTCACCAGTGATGCATAACCTATGTAGAGGATCATATGGTCGCTAGATCTGTCTCTCACCTCTGGAGACTTTGGTGAGGGATGACAAAACGTGCTATATCCCTACAATGGAATATTACTGAGCTGTAAGAAGGAATGAAATGCAGTCAGCCCTCTGATATTTTGTCTTTTATTTTTTTTTAAATGCTGGTCACAGTCTACAAATAAGCACAAATAGTGTTTCAGAGGGCATTGTTTTGTGTACTTTTACTTCAATTGATTACGTATTTGTGGGTGTTGGGTTGTTATTTTAAGTCTATTTTTTCATTGTGAGTCATGGACAAACATTTTTGAAAGCCTCAGTTCTAGGCTAAGGAATGCCTTGCCCTTTGGGAAGTTGTAGCCTTTGTCTTTGTGGCTGGGCCCCTTGGAGTCACCAATGAAATAAAAATAACTACCACAGTATTTGCCATAAGCTAGGCACTGCCCTAAGTACTTTGTATGCATTATTTCATTTAAATTTTACAGTAACCCTTTCCATTCATTCATTTGTTGAACAAGTATGTGGTGTTCTGTGTGACAGTCTCTGTTCTATGTACTTGGGATGTGCAGTGAGTAAAACAGACTGTTTTTATACCTGAGGGGGATTAAGTAACTTTCCGAAGGTCCACAGTAGTCTGCATGCATCCAGAGTCTAAACTTGACCTTTCAGGAATTTACTAGGATGGGGCTAGGGAGCATGTGGATGGTACTGGTGTGTTGCTTCCATTTCCTCTTGCTTATTCCCTTTTCACATACCTGGCGTGGGACTATGAGTGAGCATTTGCTCTCCTTACACAGTTTTATGGCAGCCCCAGAAAGGTCCCTTGGTCTTTACTTTATTTTAACAACTGGGCTTATCACACAGCTTTGAGAGGCATATAACTTCTTCAACCTTTCCATCTTTAAACCAGTTCTTGATTCTTGAGCCCTACCCCTATCCTACCTCCGAGGCACTGTCACTAATCTCCTTAGACCAGTGGTTTTAACTGGGGGTGATTTTTCTATCAGGGGACATTTGGCAATGTCTAGAGACAATTATTGATTATTATAGCTTAGGGAGGGTGGAGGTATGGTTTATTCCTGTCAAATAGTGAGTAGAGGCCAGACATGCTCCTAAACATTCTACAATGCACAGAGCAGCCTTCCACAACAAAGAATCATCCAGTCCAAAATAACAGTAGTAGTATTCCATGGTGTGTATATGAAAAAAAAAAAATATCTATATATATATATATATCAGTAGTGCCAAAGTCAAGAAACCTTGCCTTATACCTTTCTCGTGATATTGCCTAATCTCAGACTCTTTCCTCCAGGGCCACCCTCCTCAAGGTGCGTGACACGGTCAGCAGCCATGTGGAGCGAGTGTTTCAGATCTATGAGCAGCATGCAGACACAGTTGGCATTGATGCTGTCCTGCAGCGTTCAGTTGTGAGCCCCTCTGTGGCTGACATGTTGGAATGGTTACAAGATATCGAGAGACATTATCGAAGTTCATATCCTTTGTGCACATTTCAAATAGTGTCCACAGCTCTTCCAAGAAGTCTTTCTAATTTCAGTTTTCACAAGATTTTAATTTCACAAGATTGGAAAACTGTATAGTTTGGGTCAGTTCTCCTTGGTTTCTGAACTTGGATTCCTCCTGCATTCCTTTGTGCAACCATTCCTCAAATAATTCATTGAGTAGCTACTACCTGCAGGGCACTCACTGTTCTCTGCCGGGAGATAGGCATTTAGAAAGGAAGATAGAACGTCGGATAGTGCTAAGTGCTGTGGAGAAAAATAAAGCAGAGAAAGTGAGGAGTGAGGGTGGGGTTGTGATTTTAAATAGCATGGTGAGGCCAGGCCTCATGAGAAAGTGATATTTGAGCAAAGATCTGAAGAGGGTGGGGAGGGACCTATGTGGATATTTGGGGGAAGAGTGTTGCAGGCAGAGGGAACATCAACGCAAAGTCCCCGAGGTAAAAACGTGCCTGGTGTATTCGGGAAATAGCAAGGAGGCCAGTGTGGCTAGAGCAGAGTTTGAGGGAGCCTAAGAGGAGATGAGGTTAGCAAGGCTGGGCTAGACTTTGTAGGCCCTCAAGGTCTGTGGAAGAATTTTGGCTTTTACTGAGAAAGAGAAAGCTTAGAAGGTTTTGAGTAAGGAGTAAATGGGTAAAACCTGTATTTTTAGCAGTATCACACTGGCTGTGTTCTGGGGAAAGACTTGGGGTGTCGGGGACATGGCTGAAAGCAGAAAGACCACTTAGTTGAAGTTATGGTCTTTTTCTTTCCATTCTTGCCCGATGTCCAAATCTACCCTCTGGCTTAAATTTCTACCTTCATCATGTAAATAACTCCCAAGGCCCCACCTTTATTGTCTCTAGTCTTAAGTTTCAGTTTCAGATGCCTCTAACTCGATTTTTCTTGGAACTGCAAACTCAAGTTTAAATTGAACTCTGTAATGTAGTCCACAGATTCTACCCCTCTGTCCTTGAGCTGCAGCTTCAACCCTGTTTTTTCTTTTAAATTGCAGTAGTAGCAGTAGTTGTGGTAGTAGCAGTAGGAGCGATAGCAACAGCAGCGTGGACAGAAGGAGCCAGGAGCTGCAGCTAACAATACTGAGGAGCCAGTACGGTGGCTCACGCCTGTAATCCTAGCACTTTGGGAGGCTGAGGCAGGAGGATTGCTTGAGGCCAGGAGTTTGAGACCAGCCTGAGCAACAGTGAGACCCCATCTCTACAAAAAAAATAGAAAAATCAGCTGGGCATGGTGCACGTTCGTAGTCCCAGCTTAGGCAGGAGGATTGATTGAGCCTAGGAGTTTGAGGTTGCAGTGAGCTATGATGATGCCACTGTACTCTGGCCAGGGTGACAGAGGAAGACTTTGTCTCAAAAAAAAAGTAATAATAAATAAACAACAACAAAAACAATACTGAGCACTTGCTGTATGCCGGAATGTTTACAGTCAGATCTTTTGGTTCTGTTTCCCTGGCACTTTTTATATTTTCCTTCTCTATCCCCTCCATAGTTTCTTACCTCTTACTTGCACTCAATTGCATATAGCCTCATGACAGGCTTCTTTGTCTTTAGCTTCTCTCCTTCTAAACGATCTCCAATTAATGGCCTCAATCCATATAGCTTCAGGAAATCTAGTTCTGATCCTGTTACTTGTTTGGGTTGTTCTGTACTTGTATAGGAATAGCTTCTGTTGTTAGGATAAGTTCAGAAACACTGCCTTGGTACTCAGTGTTATTTGTGTTCTGGCTCAACTCACCTTCAGCTGCCTTTCCTACTACTCTTCACATGGTGTCCATGCCAACCCAAGTGGAAGGTTTGCTCTCCCTGAATCCATTCTATGCGTTGCCATTCTGTGCCTTTGCTTATGCGTTTCCTACCAGCTGGAATGTTTCTGCTATCCTCTAAACTGGATGTATTCATCCTCTGAACTTCCACTGAGTTTTATCTTTCGTATCACTCTGATTCTTTCTACTCACTGTCTGGTTTTGTTCTCACCATGGAGAGTTCCCAGGTTTTAGGGACAGTGTTTCATTCCTTTTTCCCCATAGCACAAAGTCATATGTTAGTAGAGAGTGGCTCAGGAAATATCTGTGGCACAGGTGAATGCTGCCCACGTGGTAAAATGTAAGGATAGCTGCACTTTCACTTTTATAGCTCCCTAAAGCTCTCACCAGGGTATTTTTTCCTTCAACATATTTCATTTCTTTGTGAGCAGTCCTTAACTTCCAGGAAGGTACCTGAAGAGAAAGTACCTCCTCTCCTCGATCCAGTGGGGAGACTTGGCAAACATCCAATCTTTGCCCAAGGCCTGGGACCGAATTTCAAAAGACGAACAACAAGACCTTGTACAAGGTACTGGTTTTTGTTTATTTCTTCATGTCTCCTCCTTTCTTTCCCTGTGGCTCACTTCTTTGTAAGCACTAGAGAGGTGCCATTGCCCTGCCTCTCTGTCTTTTAGAAATCTCATGTTTTGTGTTCTTTGGAGAGGTGATAATGCCATAGTTTTTCTTTCTTCCTATGCTAGATATCCTACTGAATGTTTCCTTCTTCCTGGAAGAGTAAGGAAGCTATGTGTTTATCTGGAGACCAGGGCCACCACAGTTGAAGACTGACATCGCTGCACTCTGGTATTTCTAGAGAAATGCTAGTGTTTCAACCTGACATATTTGACTTAATACCAAGCCTAGAACCTTAAGGACTGGATCTCGGGAGGATTTGTGCTTGATGTCTCCAATGTTGGAGCTTCTCTGTGCCAGGCCATGGCTGAGAGTACATGGGCCACCCCTTGCCCTTTTCTGAGGCTCAAGGAAATGGATGGAGGCAAAGAGAAAGCAGAGAGGAAAGGCGGTGTTGAGGAACATGATGCCTTAGTATCCATTATAAGGCCCCAAGTGGCAGGGAAAGAAAGCACAGGAGGTAAAGAGTGGCACTGCCATTGTGTCACCCAAAGTGCTGAGTCTGGTTGACACCAGCTCCTGGTTTTGTGTATTTGTGTCAGTACCTGAATCCTTGATGATGAGAAAGTGGTTTTGCTGATTTAAATAAATTAGGGCGATATTGATGGAAAATAAAAAAATTTTGGCCTGTGGTAATAGCCCCTGTCATCAAGCCAGTTTTGGTTTCCAGAGCCTGCCAGCAGGGGGAGGTGGTGCAGCATGGATTGTTCTGATGCTTTGTCTCTGAAGAGTGTTCCCCTACTGCTGATGCCCTCCTAGAGGACGCAGCTAGCATTAGAGATTCCCCAAATGACAGGTTTTTTTTGGCCAAATATGGCATCTGACTCGCCACATTCCTCTGAGTGTGGTATAGCTGCACAGGTGGGGAACACCAGCCCTGAGTTAGGCAATCAGGGTTACATTTCTGAGCCCAGTGCCTTCATCTGTGCAATGGTCATGTTACTTTCAGACCATGCAGCTTTCCAGGGTGTTGGAGAAATCTCAGTCATGGGGGGTGGGGGGCAAAAAAAAAAAAAAGAAAAATCTCAATCATTGAATGTAAAGGGGCTTAATAAAGAGTAGGTATTTTTTTTTAAATGAAAATAGCTTTGTTTTTCTT